TCCGCGACTTCGCCTACGTAAATAATAGTCTATGTCCACCGCGTATTATGTAGCTTCCTGTAGATTAAGACTCATAAATCGGTCCAATAGTTTCGGAGCCTATCCAATGCAAACAAGGAATCAAATCTTTCCTGTTTATAATAAACTAGCTATTTTCTCGCGATTACGCACGCGTAAATTATAGTCTATGACAACCCCGTATGATGTAGCTACGGGAGGAGCTTATTCGATGCAAACAAACAAATAATCAAATCCTTCCTCTTTATAATATTCTATGACATATAGTAAAACTATGTTCAAAAGTATATGTTTGATATTTATTATATAAAAAATATCAATGCCGCTAAAGAGCTAGCTTATCCAAGAAAATGCTATCGAAGTCGGGTGGAGATTTTCTTTAGGTTTCTTCTTTTTCTTCTTCCTACAACGGGCGTCTCCGCAACTCGACGACCAAATTACGGCTATTTTGCGTGTGGAGGGTGTATGGCCTACTCCAGCCAGCCCAGCTCTGCCAGGAACGCCCCGAGCGCCTTCACATCTGTGATGGCCTCTTGGAGGTTGCCCGGCGAGCCGAGGTGCTTTGCCCGGTAGTTGGCCACTCCGTTGCATTCCAGCAGGACGTGAGTGGCTGTTTCTTCCGCCTCCATGCATCCTCTGCCCAAGGGGCTGTCAGTGACACCTAGATTGAAAAGGTGCCTGTTAAAGTTGCCATGACCAGTAATAGCACCCGTTACCAGGCGCAAATATGGTTTACTTAGCTGTAGGAGGGCTTTGGGGAGGCGAGCGTTCACTCAGGGTAGTGCAAGTTTGGCCTGCCTGCAGGTTTCCAAAGTGTGCCAGTATTGTTGATGCAGTTTACTCGAGTGTTCACGTATCCTACCAATTAACCAGCTTACTGGAATAGGAATGATCGGTTCCGGGCCCATTGGTGTTGCATCTGATCCTCTGCGTGCCAGTTCGTCAGCTGCATCATTTCCACGTGATCCACTGTGTCCCTTTATCCATATATTGTGTGTCCCTACCATGTTTAGAACCTGGTGATACTCCTGTAGAAGACTCGATCGGACAGAACTTCCTTTTAGAGCCTGTAGGACCGATTTACTGTCCGAGAAGATCCGGATTTCTGATCCTGTTACCTTCCTTGTAGTTATCGCTCTCGCCGCCAGGGTGATCGCCATACATTCAGCCCGGAAGACTGTATTGTATGGGCTTGGGGGCAGGAACAGATGTATGTTGAGGTCCTCAGAGAATACATCAGCTTCTGTGCCTGTTGAGGTTTTGGAGCCGTCCGTGAAAACTGTGAGGGCTCTGTGTGTTACCTTTGGATCGTCACTGTCCGTAAGATGTATCTTGTATTTCTTGTCAAAGATGAAGGTGGATTCGATTCTGTCGCACACCGCCTCAACAAGCGGGGTGTTAAGCCATTCCTTCAGTAAGCCATTGAGATGTTTAGCGGTATCGAACCTTACCAGTTTATGATTTTTTAGTCTCAACTCTGTCTTGGCCGCTTCCTGTCTAGTATAAATATGTAGCAGTGTAATATTCAACATTACCTACAGAGCTGCCGTGGGCGCCGTGCTCATGCATCCCGTCAGGGCGCAGCACGCCTGCCGTTGGAAGCTTTGCAGTTTGTTTTCACAGGAGGACTGAGTAGTTTTTGGCCACCAAACAACGGCACCATAACTTACCATCGGTCATATTACTGTGTTGTAGAGCCACAAGAACAGTTTTGGCGCAAGTCCCCAACGCTTCCCGATCATTTTGCGGCATTGCCACAGGATGACGCTCGCTGATTTAATTTTGTGTTCTATGTGGCTGTTCCAGTTTAACTTACTGTCAAGGGTTATGCCTACATACTTTACCTCCTTGGACAGTTGTAGTGTTGTACCAAATAGTTTTGGTAGGTGAAACGTGCCTACATTGTGTTTGGTTGTAAACATTACCAGTTCCATTTTTGCAGGATTCACGGTCAGGTCGTACTTTTCACACCAGCGTTCGACTCTCTTCAGGGCGGCTTGCATGGTGTTGCAGGTTATACCAGCATGGGTGCCTAGAGTTAATATTGTGATATTATCGGCATACCCTATGGTGTAGGAATGGTTTGCATTCAGGAGTGTGATCAGGTCGTTGACCACCAGGTTCCACAGTAGCGGCGAGAGTACTCCCTCTTGGGGGCATCCCCGCGCCACCAGTGCCCCCGTACTGTCCTCACCTGCCACCCGAACTATCCTGTTGCGGAGCATATTCACGATCCAGTCTATAACTTGTGGCTTTACACCGTGTCTTTTGAGAGCCGCCTCAATGCTGGTGAAGTTGGTTCTATCAAAGGCACCTTCGATATTCTTTAGGTTTAATAACATGATAGGCGCCCGACTTTAAATAGCATTTTTCTTATAAGTTGATTTTAAGATAAGTATTATTTATTACTTTTAAAAAGATTGGAGTCGGTTCTATTTTTTAAAAAAGAGCTCATTTCTCATTAGGGCATCTCCTAGTTAATTAAAACGTAGTTGCGGTTGCGGTGGCAGCGACCACCGCCATAGTAGATCAGGGGGCCAATTCTACTAAATAAATTTTGTTTAAGTCGAATCGAAAACGGATCGAAACCGAACGAAACTAGTTTTTAATGGTTTTTCTATTCTACAAAGTGACATACGATACAATTCCAGCTAAAATAGAACTGCGACTTTGTTCATGGCATCGTCGAACCTTACAAAAAATAAAAAATAAAATAGTTTATATATCTCAGTCTCATGCACTTTGATTTATTTAAAAATAGGTAAGAAGCGCTAAATGAAAGATCTGTTTTTATCGACCTTGTGAGTACTGAATAGGGATGACGACTGGGTAAAAAAAAAAGAAATTCTAAATAGAATTTCTTTCCTTTTTTCGTCAGTTAGATAATAGAAAAATATTAGTTACATACATCTTTTTACTTCAATTTAACAAGAAATAACTTAGATAACAGGCATTAAAGTTGAGGAGTGGGGGCTCGCTACATTAGTTTTGTTTTTGTAAAGGTACCAAAGCATGACGTCATGTGACATTTTAACTCAATCTATCGCCATAATTTAATGATTACGAAAAATATAAAAAAATATATGTTTAATATTTTTCAACAATATACCTGACGGAAAAAGAAACAAAAATTAGTCGTCTTCACAATTATTGTATCTCCTTTTGATTGTATAATGCATTTTATATTGAAGATGCCGTGCACACCATACATGCAAATAAGCACTGCATACCCTACCCACAAAACCCAACTAAACCTCCATTGTTTAATTCTTACTTACATACTCATACATTAACTCGATACGAGTATTCACAGAGACTCATGATCATGATTTAGTACAATTAGTATAAGTATATAATCACATAAACAGACAACTGAATATATATCCTAAAACCACCAAAGAATGTAAAACAGCCCTAGTTGAATGGCTTAAAAGCAAGGATTATAATGAAATTGAAAATCTTATAAAATAATTCTTAAATAAACAAGTACACGCACACAATTCATGTCACGACGATGTTTTACTGAATAAAGTACCTGTTAAATAGCAACAGGCACGTTGATTAAGGGATTAATCGGATTCATACCTAACATTTTGTCGGCCACTGGCTGTTCATACAAACAATTCAATAGTTCTTCCTACCTATTTAGATAAAACGAAATAATTTTTCGGTAATTTATTTCAATGTTCATGGTGACCAACAAACTCCTGGCCATATGGTCAAACTCATTAGAAGCTACTGAAACTATGCTGAAAATTGGCAAGTTTTTTTTAATATTACATGCTGCATACCTTACCCCAAATCTCTATGCACGCCCCTGCATGCAAACCGATTCTCCAGATTATATATATGTACGTGGTTAATTATTAGTTTTCATGGTTTGTTTACGGTCAATTCACTGGTAATTATAAAATGCTTAGTGCGTTTGCCTACTATAATTTTTAGGCCAACTTTAAAGATGGCATTCCCAACCCACAAAGCGACTTTATGTTAGGGAGGTACAGCTAGATGAACGTTTTATATGAAATTTGGAATTTGGTAGAACGGTCGTATTTATTCGTAATCAATAAATTGCGGCAAAACTCAAACACTCTTTGTTACGATCTGTAAACGATACATATCGCACACTTAGATCTGAACTGAGACAACTCAAAAATTTGAGTGTGTTTTGACTTAGTACAATATTCAAATACTCGGTGATCATACGCATCTATCCAACCTAACAGATTCAATAAAGGTTCGGGGATGAGCCGCTAGATAACTTTAGCTTTCTTTTGTTGAATCAACAGTGGTCGCGCTCCTGCCACATAAACAAATGTATTGTTAGACCTACACATTAGTTTTTTGAGTTGTCTTAGTTTAGATCTAGGTGTGCGAATTATATAATTAACCAAAAGATAATAACAAACTGCTTATATTCGGCTGGACGTTACTGGTCCGTGATTCCATATGGTTTTATCCAATACAGGAAGCTAACGCACACGTTTTGATGCCTTTTTTAACTTTATTAGAGCTTAAAGTATAAATACGATCACTTTATTTGTTAAAATATTGCAACATTGTAAAAAAAATCTCATCCGTTAACAAAAATTTACCGCTTGTGTAGTTTTGATTTTACCACCCTATAATTTTTTAAATTATTTGTTAAGAACTGACCAGTGCGTATCTAATAAGTTGCAATTCCTATGCATCTTTTAAAAGACGTAACATGATTATGTGCTATCTTTATCTCCCAAGATAAAATCCGCGGCACCGTGCTTGCCAGACATAAATATGTCGAGTCTTATAGCCGTAAACACGATTCGATTCGTCAATCTCTACGATAACATTTTTAGTTTCTCACGAAAACTACTGTCGTGACACGTGTATCTAAATAAATATGAATCGAATTTTAAATTGTAACCACTATGTAATTCGATTTAGGTACGTTTATGTAGTACAATAGGTACTCATTACAATTCAGGTGTTAAAAAATAAAAAATGAAGTTTTAATAAATTTATTTATGTAATAAAGATTAAATATATAATAAACTAAACTTCAGACATTTCAACATCTTCAATGTTTAAGTCATCCAACATTTCCGCCAAGGTGATGCGAGGCAACGTCGGGTCAATCTCATCTGTATCCACAGGGATTTTATTTTGATCTTTAAATATATTGATGTTCTGCCTAAAAGCGGGGTCTTCTTCCAGGTCATCGAGGAATTCATTGTAATCGCTGTAGACAAAATTATCAATGTTTGTTACATAAAGTTAAATATTTTAAATCACGTTTAAAACTCATATCACAATAAATAATCCGATTCAGATAAGAGCCGAAAATAGAAAGATTTTTTTTACCTTTCATAAACATCTTATCTATATACAAAATATGAGAATGGACAATGGATATTGATATACAAAAAATGTTGCTACCTTATAATAAAGAATAATTCCAGTGACTAACACGTAACTGAAGCCCTAATTAATCTGTCAAAAAGCTCTGAATTATCGATTAGGATTGGACTGTTCAATCTTAGATCAATCCTATTGGTCTGCTGATAGGTTATTTACGAGTTTAACAGATTCAGAACATCATTTTGACAGATGAATCTGGGATTCTGTGACATGTAGAGCATATAGTCATTATTTAGGTAGGTCTGTTTGCTTTCTTGGGCAACTCTTTTTTATTCATATATGTCGCAGACAACTAGTCTAATACGCACCTAATCAGCTAGCCCAATTTCATTGGACGGCTGAGTAACTGAATATACGTTCTAAAATTAGATGGCTGAACGAGAATCAGCCAACTTATTTCGGTCAATTCAGGGTTACAATTTTTCCAATATGTCATGTGGAAAAAGATGCTAAAACAATACACACGACACTTGTTTGCATAAAACTAAAAAATAATTATAACCCATTAAGATTCGAAAAAATTGTCTTATTGATCGAATTATCATGTTGTAATTCTGAAAATATTGTTTGTGGTGTAAACGTCAATGTAATATTTTGAGTCGCCTTACAGATAACCTCCAATAGATTGCCATATGATGACTATTTTGTTACAAATAAAAAAGCCAAGGTGGGGAAGGTGGCGGGCGAGGTAAGCGCCGCGATGCTATTGGCTAGTACAAAGATACATATTCCGTAGTAATGGCAACCATAATGTGTTAAAGGCAGGTAGATAAATTGATCGATATTAAATGTTACTATTAGATGTCATTAAAAATAAATTTTATTTAATTCACAATTTATAGCACTATAAACTAATTGGTGGACAAGGCACCCAACGGCAAGGCTTTAGTGAGCGCGTTCACTCAATCACTAACTTTCAATTAGTTGGTAACTTTCAAATATTACTTAATATTTTTATTTTGTACAAAGAAATACTTTTAAATAAGTTGGAATTGAAAATGGGAGAACAACATCACATTTTAGATACAAAATCACAACCAAAACGCGAATTTATAACCCCGATAGAAAAAAAAAGTATCCAAAAAATCACCATTTTTACATTTCTTGTAGTACGGGTTAACCTGCTTCACTTTCTAATTAAGGGCTATAAAAATGCACTGAGTCACAAAACATACGTAAAAATGAAAGTGTTGCGCCACTGCGCTCATATTAAAATATTAAGTAATATTTAAAAAAAAAGGTGAGCCGGAGTGCCAGAGACAAAATAGATCGCTTAGGCATTTTTCACTTGGAATATTTAACAGTATAGCTTTGAGAATGCAAAATTGATCAAATATAATAAAAAAAAGTTTTTAATAATAAGCTTTTATTTGTAAAACACAAATAAAACATAAATAATAATAATAATTTTATGAAAATATTTTCATAAAATTATTTTCAAAAAAATTTATGAAAATATTTTCATAAAATTATTATTTACGTTTTAGTTAGTTTTTATTTTTTCGTTTTCTCAATATACGAGGGCGAGATGATAAATAGCTAGCCTAGCATAGAAAAACTTTAATTAGTGTGTTAAAAGTATATTTATTTTTCGACATAGTCTCCTTGACATACACTTCATCCATCTATGCTCTTAAGCCTTGATGCCATCCCTGAAGTGGTTTTCTTCAAGCCCTTCAAAATAACTGTCCATGGCAGACATCACCTCGCTATTATTTTCAAATCTTTGTCCACCTAAGAACTTTTGAGCTTAGGGAATAGATGAAGGTCAGATGGTGCCAAATCAGGAGAATAAGCTGGGTGTAGTAGCAAATCATAATTTAATTCTTTGAATTGCGCCATCGTAGTGATGCATGAGTGAACGCGCGCATTATCCTGATGAAAGATTTTTTTTTTAGCCAGGCCGGGTCTTTTTTCACGAATACACACTTGTAATTTATCTAGTAGGTCAGCATAATATTCGCCATTTATGTTTTGTCCTTTTGGAAGGTAATCAATCATCAATATACCCTTCGAATCCCAAAAAATGACACCATAACTTTCCCCGCTGTTTTCACGGCTTTTGCTTTCTTTGGAGCCGGGGATCCTTTTTCCGTCCATTGAGACTGAATTTTTGATTCAGGTATATAGTGGTGAACCCAAGTCTCGTCTGTAGTAACAAACTGTCGCAGAAAATCAGTTGTATTGCTCTTAAAGCGGTCCAAACATTCTTGTGAAATTTGCAAACGAACGCGTAAGCAATCGCGGCACCCACCTTGCGGATAATTTTTTCATACATAATTACTGAGTCAAAATGTAATGCGCCCGTTCTTTAGAGATGCCTACAGTATCAAAAATCTCGGAAAGTTTCAATCTTCGGTCAGCTGATGTAGCCGAGTAGTGGCACTTTTTGGACGTCCTGGACGATATTCATCTTAGGTGCTGGTACGGCCACGTTTAAATTCAGCCACCCAATTTTTTATGGTCGCATATGAAGGAGCATTTTCTCCCAAAACGTCCTTCATCTTCATCTCCACCTTTTAATCCTTTTAAATGGAAAAACTTTATCACAGCTTGTGGCTCAATTTTATCCATTTTGCAGAAAAAACAAAAGAATGCTTTTTGAAATGTCAATATTTAAAAGAAGAACTATACGATCGATATGAAATTTGGAACACTGGCAGCTAATGAACCAACGAGTAAAATACTAAGGAGATTTTATATCGTTATTATACAAAATATGGGTTGGGCTAGCTATTTATCATCCCGCCCTCGTATGTTGTTGTTCTCATAAAGATGCAGTTGCTTTATTTCATTGCTAAGTTCCTATGACAACCTTCCAGCTCCATCATCGCCAGACCTTGGTCTGGAAAACAACCAGTACCGAAGTCCTCACAAAGACGGATCTAACGAGCCCAAACACGAAGCAATTGCGTCATTTCATAACTAAGTTCCTATGAACACCTTCCTACATCATCATCATATTGGCTTATTTACACCATAATATACAAAATTTCAAATCTATCAGACATTGGGTATGGGTCAAATTTGAGTTCACAGATTTGCACACTGACTAACTATATACAAGGCAAATAAAACTTGTAAAAAGGTGTTAGTTTTGGCAAAAAAAAAAAAACAAAAGTTGCAAACTTTGGACTTTTAAATAATAAACAAGTATTGAAAATAGGATGAGAATTATTAATGGAAACTTAAAATGCATATCTGAAATATCTTAAACTAGTTAACCATAGGTACTGTACAGTACCAATATACCTACGTACATTGACAAATGTTGGTTATTAACCTTAGAGTACTTTTGTGTACTAATTTGTGCACAGAGTACAAATTTTTCAAGTAATAGTACAATACCAATCCATATTTACGTATGGAAATATCGATATCGATCATACCTAGAAAAAGCATGCAGTAGCGATACTAGTGTTACACGTGTCTTTGCCAGAAAGAAAGAAATATACTAATTTAGTAAGAATGAGAGAAAGGGATGGGTTTTGAGAAGACATCAATACGTACTGCATTTTTATAAAGTTACCTATAATTGTCCACTATAACCCTGTGACATAATTAAATAAAATTTATCATAATGTTGAATAAAATCCATCTTACTTGCAATAACATGTTCTAGAATTCTTTCCAAACCGTTTAGCACTACAACTTACTATGATTAAAACAATAACTACTTCATTATAAAGAAAAGTCTTCTCGTCAAAGCATATATTCACAGATCGAACACTTGGTTGTAACTGAGGATTCACATATGTGTTAAAATGATCTATGCAGAATCATAGACGCTTGGCTACAGCTTGCTGTTGGAGGTTATCTGTACATAGAGGTAACATGAGGGCCAAAGTAACGTTAAATGTTACAAAATTAACATTTGGCAATGCTTGTCGAATTAAACACTTGTAAACAAAGTGAAGCTAAAGTGAAGGCATCTTGGCAAAAGAATATGCTAAATGAACGTTTTGGCGGCGTTTGAGTCAGACGTCTTGTTGAACGGTTCAAATCTCATAATCATCCAACTAGAAAACTAGTCGTGCAATCGAATGGCGCCATTCAATAAAAGGGCAAGCCGACGAATTGATATATATAAATCATGTCATTTGACGTACGTCTTAAATAAAATAATTATTTAACTTACTCGTTTGTAGAGCTGAGGCCTTCGTGTAATTCTTCTGCCATATGTTTAAGCTTCCAGTTGCGTGCGCGGCGTCTAGCTGACCGCTCCCCGTAGAACTTCTTCACCAGAAACACATCGGGCACAATACTTGGATCCAGTTTGTCGAAATTAGAGTCATTCACGTTCGAGTTGCTGAGGTTGTATCTGTGAGCAAATGAAGTTGAAGTTGTATTAATAGGGTAGTTTCGGTAGTGATAAGCACAAAATTGCACAAAAACTATAAAAACATAATAATAAAAATAGAGATTCTGATTTTGAGTTTTAAAATACCTCGATTATCCTATTATCATAAAATTAATACTATAAATAATTTTAATGTGTGACGTCAGTGTGGGGAGCGGTCAGACATCTGTTAGATTAGTCATAAAGATATGCTTAATAATTATAAATCAAATTCCTAGACAGCGATGATCTTAACTTATTTATATCTTTTTATTTTGTAATTGATTGTTAGATGGCATTGTTCTTGTTTTATTGACATCTTTTATTCTTCTACCTTATGCATCTGTTTTGTGTACATATCACAATGACGTCATATGGACAATGTTATCGCGAGTATTAAAAAAGTGATTTTAGGGCAAATAAACGCGTTTATTTTTTCGAATTATTTATGTTTTTTATTTTATTAAACTAAACAGTTACAATTGTTATTTTAAACAGAGTAGAATACCCTATTAAAACAACATTGAATCTTCGTCCATACTTGTATCCGCAACATGTGTGCACTCCCTTGGAATGCTTTACTTACAATGAGGGCTACCGTTTTTTAGCCATCTGGTATGGCGCGACTGTCACGAGAGGTCCCATCAAGTTTGTTTACACCGAGCCTGAACTTAAATCATACATAAAAAACCAACTTATTCAAGATATCGAGAATTCCCAATAAATACTAACCTCTGAATTAGTTGTTCTTTCAACCCGCTTAATTTCACACATTTTTTAGCTCCGTTTTCAACCACTGACATTTATTTACACTGACAAAGTATGATATTTGAAATTTTGAAGACCTCACTTTACACTAGCGCCTCTAGTGACAACTTCAAACGCGTTAGCCCTCATTTAAGTGATATATCAATTTCGAATAGATTATTTTTAAACCAATAAATTAAATACCAATCCGAACATGTGATGTTATTTGTGGGTAAATTGGTTATTAAATTATATAGGTGAAGCATGGGAACCATTCTAAGTATGTAATAATTTTAATGATTTACTTAATGTATTACAGGTAATTTTGATGTATGAACGTGAAAATAGCATACCATTTTTTCACTAAAAATAGCTTTTGTAAATAGCTATTTTAGTGGAAAATTAAAGCAATATTTTTAAAGTTGTTTGTAACTTCATCAACCTCACAACCTTCTTACATCTCTCTTGCTTGTATAAAAATATCGTGAATAATTAATAAGCACATCAGTTAAGACGCAAACGCCATGAGTATTGATAAGAGAAAGCGGGTTACCATGAACACGTCTTAAAATAAACATTAGTAATGAACATTTGTTTTCTAGTGTATTTTGTATCTTTTTATTAATATTCTAAAAAAATATAATTACTATCAGCAACAGAATGCTAAGTGAGCATGTTTCTTAGGTAAAAAATTTGGTTAGATTAGGCAATATTCTGCACTTAGATCTCCAATAAAGGAAAAACTTACCCCAAAACTGTGTCGCCGGGCTTCAATATGTGACCGAGATGAGTTTTTGTATGTACTGGGTTAACATCTAGACCCAGCTCACTGGCTTTAACCACCCAAATATCAGCCACCACATGCTTATTAGAGACCATGCCTTGACCAGGAAATGATTTTTTCTCCTGCGCAAAGAACAACATTACGTAAATGTCATAGTTAATAAAAATTAATTTTAAATTCAATGTAAATTTTTGATATAAAAAATTTAATTTTAGTATAATATCAAATTTCTCAATCTATTAACAATCTCAATTATCACACTTAACATAAAATGTCTATAATTTAAAGTATTTGTAATGCATAAGATAGCATATTCGTTATTTTGACATTTTGGAACACGAAACAGGTTTACTAAACTGTATATGTTGAAATGATGAAGCTTCAATTTATCAAATTATCATAATAAGCGACTGATGTTATGATACTTACATGAGGATAGTATATGGGAAAATAATAATTTTTAAGACGAAATTCCAAAAACAAAAGTTATAAGCATCATTACATAAATATGTGTAACACAATATTTATATTCATTACATTATGTACCTATTTTCAATTTCATGTATGTATTAGAAATGGCAAGTATTCCAACTTTAATATTAAAAAACCTCATATTTGCTAAAGTATGATGTTTAAAATTAAATCATGCATTACTTAAAGAATCATTTTATATTATAGATATTCCAAAACAGTTAATTTATTGCAGCAATTTTAAACACTCTAAAGTAATAGGGTCGTTTTGGTAGTGAAAAAAAAGTCACGAAATTGCACAAAAACTAATAGGTATTTACATACCTAGTGTTTATAAACATAGATTCTAATATTGAGTCTTCAAATCGCACGATTATCCTATAATCTTAAAATTAAAAATAGTGAGTGTTTTTTCGTCTGTGTGTCACGTGACTTGAAACACGTTCCGCAATAATGTGACGTCACTGTGGCGACAACTGTCAGATTAGTCATAAAGATATTCCTATTACTTATAAATCAAATTCCTGGTGGCGCTATTGTTAGCTTATTTATATCTTTTTATTTCGTAATCGATCGTTAGATGGCATTGTTCTTCTTTTATTGACATTTTTCCATTTTCTTCTCTATGCATGTTTTGTGTACACACCACAGTGACGTCATGAATATGACGGACAGCTTTTTCGCAACGAATGGATAACGTGTTTTACCGAAATATTTGTCTTATGGCTATTTTAAATTCAAATAAACAGTTAGAAGTATTATTACAAACGGAGTAGAATATCCTATTATGACATTTTGATTTGGTTCACATGATGATACTAGATGGCGCTTTGAATAAAAGCTTTTTCTGTGTTGCCATACACATAAGGTATAGTTTGTATTAAGAAATAAATCGTAACGATATTTTCTTATGTTTAAAAACTTACATGTTCTTTCAATATGTCTATATCCATCACAATATACTCCACTAACTGTTTCGGATTACAAATTGGTGTGAATGGATATCGCCAATAAAGAGTAGAGGAAAGATCGCAAACTGCAAATGGAAACAATTGTTTAATAATATATCACTAAAACCTGTATGAATATTAAACATGTGTTCGTAACTTTATATTAAAATTAGGGACCATACATAAATTACGTCACACGTTAGGAAGGGGAAACAATGTAATGTGATATTAAAAAAAAATAGTAAAATTTATATAGACAAACTGTGCCAGGGGTGGGGGGTTAAAAATCATAAGTATTGTGTGACTTATTTATGGGTGGTTGTAATAGAATAAAAAAAGAAATAAAAAGTACCTTGACCAGTACTGGCATCAATTAAATGAATTGTGCTAGTCACTCTGTTAACTAGGCAAATTGGAAATATCGAACCAAGCTGATGTGTTAACTTTTTAGGCAGGCACACCAAACTATCCTTTGATAATGGTACAATTTCTATGCTGAATGTAAATTTGTAATTGTACACATTGCTGTGGATATCATGAGAAATAAGTTTCTTGGAATGCTGGCATTTAATAGGAAGTACCGACTGTACAAAATCCACCATTTTACGGGCATGACTTTCAGTTGCATAAAAGAAATCTAGTCCATCTGTAAATAAAGAAATATAAAATTTTACATTCAAATTTGCAGAGCATTCCGTTTTTTCATATTGTGTTCCGCAATATCCTAGGCCAAAGTATATGTTGGGCAGATATTGATCATAATAGGTCTTTACCTGTGAAATTGCCGTCCTTCCCTACTGGCCATTTCAAATCAAAAAAAAAAAAATTTTCTGATAATTTTAATTTCAAATTAATTTTATTTAAAAAAAATGAATTCTTTTTTCTATAATCGTCATTTGTTTAATAGTAAATGTTTTGTTTTCAATGCATTCGAACATTTTTCGTCCTCATGGATGAGTTAAAAATTCGAGTAATTATGAAGTGCGAGTACCGTCGTAACAGCGAAGCGGCACAAGCGGGACGCAATATTAACGACGTTTACGGAACGAACACGAAAATTCTGGACGACAATGACGAATTAAAGGCGAATTAGCAGCAGCTTACGACGTTAGCATCAAAACAATATTAGCGTCAATTTGAAAAGGTAAAAAGGCTAGACAAATGGGTACCCCATGAACTCAATGATCGCCAGCGCGGGGTACGCGTCGAGACGTGCCTTGTGCTGCTCAACGGGCATACAGATGAAGGAATGCTGAACCATTGTTACTAGTGACGTGAAATGGATCCTGTTCTCGACAATCGTAAGAGCTCAGCAAGTTGGTTGGACCCTAGTTCAGCACCCAAACAATGCCCTAAACGATGGAGAACCTCGCATGTCTCCAACCAGCTTTGGTCAATAGTTCGGCTCCATTCGCTCACACTACGCGTTGGTTAGAAGTTCTCCGTCATCCGCCATACTCACCAGACATTGCCTACAGATTTCTACTTGTTCCAGAATTTGGATAACTTCTTTGCGGGAAAAAAATTGATACCCCAAATGCAGTACAAAATGCCTTTGAAGAATTTGTTGCCTCAATCAATCATAAATATGCTACCAATGCGTTGGCAAAGATGCATTGATTGCATGGGTGATTATTTCGATTAATAAAAATAAAAATATAAAAAAATATGCTTCATTTATATCATGAAAAATGGCAATTTCATAGGTTAAGACCTAATATTTCAGCAAATGGTAAGAGTAAAAAAAATATGTATGTGTCAAAATGACCAAGGTGAGAAATTCCATTTAAACAAAAAGGAAGTAAATAAAAACACGAACTCAAATTTTTGCCTTAAACTTGTCCAAGATAAAGAACATCATATTCCTGAACAGTCAAATACAAGCAATTTTTTTTCTTAAACGGGAATTTTGATGCTAATTGGTTACTGTAGGGAGTGAACTGTAGGGAGTGTAGGGAGTGAACGAACGAAACGAGTGACTGTGTGTGTTTGGTGGGTATTATTTGATTTTGTTTTGCTATTTATTTATAATTTAAGTGGTACGTTTTTATTTACAATTTTCATACCTTACATCATAAGGAGAAAACATACAATCATTTGTTATATTCAAAATATTTTTTTTGTGAGAATAATGAATTGATGCTTCCCATTTTTACTTGTTATTGACCTCAAAATGTTCTGTTTGAGATAGCTGATTTTAGCATAAAGTGAATGAATATTTAAAAAAGTCATTCCGTGAAAGATCATTTTGAGGATGTTCCCGAGATGACTATTTTAAGGATCAAGCCAAATTCAACAATGTTATAATATATATTATGTATACACAAATATTACATAAAAAAATTATTGAGCATATGATAAAGACTCCACTCATATTTTATATATATGATACATATATGATATATTTAATAATAATAAAATTATTATTATTATCTTCAGGCTATATCCCTTATGGTAAAGGAGATGTATTTAGTAAAAATTATAGATTATTATCATTTAATCCAAAAATAAAAAAAATAAACTGGAAAAGTAGATATATTATTGAACATACTCAATCAGGGGTCGGAAACCGGTATATTTTTCGAAACGTTTTCATCTTAAATACCTAAAAAACACTTTGTTTCGGTTTCGTTCAAACAGAACGATATAAAAAACGATTTTGGAAAAAAACAGAATTATATTGTTTTCGGTTAATAAAACGTTTTTAACCCTTTATTTTGCGTTTTTTTGCATCGCATACTGTAAATAACGTAATAAAATAAATGTACGCCGCCCTTACAGCCTGCGCGGCACCGTCTTGCGGATTAAACCGGTTTTTTAAAGCGTTCTCATTTCGTTTTCGTTTCGAACGCAATCTTGCCCAAAGAACCATAAGAAACGTTTTAAAAACGTTATTTTGAATAACGTTTCCGAGCCCTGTACTCAATACAAAATATAATAATTAAAAATTGTTTCTGAAGTTGATATGCCCTCTTAAATTCACTGGAATTTAACATAAATATCTGCTTCTAAGCATGCTCATCTTAAATATTTCAAGAACAATATCATAGCAATTAGTTAATCCTATTTTCAAATTAATACCTATTAATTTATTCATTAGAAATGTACAATGACAGAATTCACCACCTTGGTGATTTTGTGCTGTATGTAATTCAATATTCATACACAGTACACATACTATTTGTATATACATGGAATGTAAATATTTGGTTTTCAAAAGTGGTCATTGATTAAAAGTTTGAAAAAAGTTAATCTAACAAATTGTGATTAATAAAAAAAATAATAATTACCATGCTTTGGTTTAATACCCAGGGTATTTTCATGAGCTTTGTGCTTCAAAATTAATTGCTCCAAGTAATAAAAGGTCTTTCTATTGTTTGCTCTCTGTCGTACTTGAACCAAAGCTCTCCAATAATCTTGAGCTTCTGAGCGATGGCAAGCATCGCACATTTGATGTTGTACTGTGTACTCGACAATAAATGTCTGCTGCAGCACAGCCCCGCCTATTACCTCTCCTTGCACTGTTAATTTTACCTAAAACCACTTATTTTATAAATTATTTAGATACCCAAAACATGTATAGTAGCTTTGAAGTTATAAGCTAGACAGGGATTATATACCAATTACTTTTACATCTTGCAACCTGTAGTACATATTATTATTATGCAAAGTAATGATCATAAGTATTGGTCAGACATTTCTTAAACAAAATTGCGTAACACAACTTATTAGGTGCTTAATGTTAGAGGGTATCGGTTATTATTAAATCATATGAAACCTTTATTCGCTTTGAATGTGGTTCAGTCCAAGCGAAGCCCGCATCTATTAGTTTCACTCTATTCAAACCCTTCAACCTCTTCAGACACAAGGCAAGCAGCTCTCTGGATTCGAGAGCACACACCAGCCATTCTGCAGGAGGTTGTAAGTATCTGTAAATGTCAGAGTAGTTATTTTTTTAACACAATACATAATTATTACAGCTTAAAATACTTCAAAATAGTTTTTGAAGTATTTTAAGCTGTAAATAATTCAAAATACCTTTCACATCAAAGCAAGTATTCAAAATACCTTTCACATCCTCTACAGAAGAATAAAGTTGCTTGCTTAGGTATACCATCAGTGATATCCACATGAGCCCGTAAGCATGCAACACACATGTTGGATGGATTAGCTTCAATAGGAACAGCACATTGACAACATAAGCTGAAAGTTTGAAATGTATTCAGATTTATCATTAAAGAAAAATATTTTTTGGTTAAAGTTTGTACTGAGACCGAAGTTTTAACCTAAAATACCTACACCCTTGTGCTATTTGAAGGGGAAAGAATGTCTTCATGTGAGATATATTCCATTCTTGTGCTTTTAGGTAAAATACCTATTTGATTTGAATTCACTTACACAAAAATAATATTTCTAAAAAACTATACTATTTTGCACGTGTGAATAGGGATGCAACAATATAAATCGACTGGCAAAAATATCGGATTCGAAAAATACCAAGATATCGTAACCTTATATCGAGTGAAGTCCAAAGAGTATGTATAAGTAGTATAAAATTTAACATCTAAGGGTATCTTCATATGTGATAAAGAAACCTGTAACATTATTTTGTAACCCTCATTTTTGCTCTGAAATTGTAGTTTTTATACTACTGCCAAATAAAGGAGTGCTTTGTATTTAGGGTTAATATATGTAGGTATTGTATGTAAGTTTCTTTATTCTACCAAAACGTTTAAAAAACTTATAAATATTATGTTATTATGAATTGTACATTAAAAATAAATTTCAATATAATATGTTATTCTCAATTTATTTTCCTCATTAATAAATCCTCTATATAATCCTCATATAGTACATAATCCTCATTAATAAAACCTCATCCCTGTTACAGATCAGGGTTTTTACCGCCCTATCAATAAAAAAAACCTAAACTAAACCAACGGCTTACTTTTAACAGGGTAGATGATATCAAACTAGGTGCTGATTTCGAAACATTTGATTTTAGTACAGTCTATTCCACTCCAGATACCAATATTGCTCTAACGCACCTTATAAATCCAATCTATTTAGCCTTGTCCAATACCACTACCACTGTGTCATTATCTCGGAAACACAGACCTATTAAACCCTGGATTACCTCAGGATTATTAAAATGTATGAGACACGGATATTATCTATCTAAGCAATTTAAGACACATCGAATCAGGTATTAAAGATTTCATACAAACGGTACCGAAAGTTTTGCAGGGCATTGTTGAGAAGGGCATTAACTGAATACCAAATCTTATGGTAATTCTAAACTGCTTTGGAAAGTTATTCAAGGTGTGACAAATTTAAAGAAGCCTCAATTGTCAGCAAATAATCTTTTAAATACGCACTCAAACAATTTGAACTCCCTTAATGATATTAATTTTTATTTTACCATTAGTGGTCGATATCTAGCTGAAAAAATATCCAGTCAGTCACAGTTTCACAATACTACACTATCCCCACCGAGTGGTAGATCTTTTGCAATGCTCGAAACAGACGAGATGGAGGTCAAGAACTTATTTTTTTAAACTAAGATCAGTTATGAAATCTTATATTCCTAATTAATTAAAATCACAAGACACGTACAGTTATTATACTATCGCTACTGAACTTGCATGCCGACGGCGGACGGCGGACGAAGGTGTTATGTTAGTTCTTACTCTATCTCTGCGGCGGTGGTGTCGTGTGCATCGGGTCGTTAAGTTCCCTCAAATATAGTTGAGCGAAGCGATGGCTGGCTCATGCGTCAAGCTCGTCAAAGGGTGCTGCGGATGAGTCTGTACTGAACCACTCATTTCTTCAATTTCCTTTATTATGAATATTATATATTGATTTGTCCATGAATAAGTATGACTTGGCAACCGGCAAATTATTCTATTCTATTCTATTTTTTATTGATGGCAAATAGAGTCAGTGTCAACTATTCTGCCAATGTCGGAAGTAGATTGGATAAGCAAGTATATTAATATGAACACAAAGGATTCGTAAGCTAGAAACGAAGTGACTATAATTGTATAAATCTTCGATTGATACAGTTGGACTTTTTGTGTTAGTACTGGACTGAAACAAACAAAAAAAAAATTATAATTGTAAGAACATAAAATATATACACGTAACCACAATTACATTGAAGTCAGGGCTCATAATTTGATGTTATTGTGACGGATGAAGGTCATCAACGCCACAAGTAGGTCTGGAGAGGGATATGTATGGAGGGCGGAGTCATTAAATAAAGATCTAAGAGTCTTTAGCTAAAGATCTAAAGGAGGGACGTTGTTTGTGCACTGGAAAAATATGTATTCCAAAGTACCTTCTTCTAAACCACACTCGCATAAGGAGGAGTCACGAACACGGATTTTTTCTAAGAAGACAGGAGTAGAGCAGAACCCTAAGCGGATTCTTCACAGAACGGAAATGACTGGTTTGGACACTCTTGAAAGGATAGAACCAAGGTTTAGGCTTAATGGTTGGTTGTACTGCGTAGTAGAACTTACCCTTCTTCTTATCAGTGGTATTCCACTGTTCCTGCCAAGCACATTGAAGACTTTTAGGCAGCTTAATTAGGTCGTACCCCTGATTTGTTTTTCCAGTAGCTTGAGGATCTGCATATGTTGTTTAATTCATTCAGTTTTAGGATAAGGGGTAGGAGGATCTACAAATAATCCTAGACGTAAAACGTGAAGCTAGATATTGCCGTCTCAGGGCTAGGTGTGGTTCGGCGCTCTCGACCTGCAACGCGTTAACGGGGGAGGACTTCATACACCCAGAGATGATCCGAAGGCACTCAGAATGAATTCTATCTAGAATATTTGGCGGGACTACCAAAGCACCTTTGTTGCATAGGATTAGATGAAATGTGCCATAATCTAATATGCTGCGAACTGAGGCGTTGTATATTGATTTCATAGTATAAGGGTGGCACCCCACCACACACCCGCAAAAACTTTAAGAATAGAAATGACACGTTCGCATTTTTTAATTAAGAAATTTATGTGGAACTTACCTGTTAATTTTGAATCCAAAAAAAAACGCCTAATAATTTTGCTTTATTTGACAGTGGAATAGTTTTACCCGAAATGGTTATTGTGATGGGAGAGATAGTTCTTTTGCGAGAAAAGACTACTGCAGAGCTCTTTGGCGCAAACAAGCAGACTTTGGCGAATGACAAGCCGTGGTCTAGCAGCCAGTGATTTAAAGAGTCCAGAGAGAAGCATAGGGACGATGCAGCGTCAACGATAGAAGAATCTGACACGTACAGGTCTAAGTCATCGGCATACTGAAAGATGTGAGTGTTATTGTTGAGACAGGAGCCGAATTCGGCTGTGTACAGATTATACAAAATGGGGTTGAGGACGAAGCCCTGCGGGAGTCCCTTCCAGGTCAGCCTTTCATCAAATTCCTCTCCCTGGACCCTCAAAGCCAATGAGCGACAATATAATAGTCCACATAAGCATTCGATCATCTTTACCGGGATGCTCAGCTGGTGCAGTTTCTGCCTGAGGACGGGAAGCAGAACGATATCATATGCGGATGAGATGTCTAAAAAGACTGCGACGATAGACTCGTTTTTAGAAAATGCTAGACGAATATCAGTGACTAAAATGCCAACACTGTCCATTGTGCTAAGTCCTTTCCTAAAACCAAATTGATGTTTCGGCAGTAAGTCTCTGGATTCAACTATCCACTCTAGTCGGTTCGTAATGCTCCATAAGTTTAGCTAAGACTGAGGTCAGAGCAATAGGTCTAAGGCCATTCGGATCATCTGCATGTTTGCCTGGTTTCAACAAAGGGATAATAATTTGTAGTTTCCACTGATTTGGAATCCAGCCGCGATCGTAGCAGAAATTTATAATATTAAGGAAGTATGCTTTAGCTTTATCCCCAGAATGTTTTATAAAGGAGTATATCACACCATCGCTACCAGGTGCCGAGTCATGGACATGGTTGAGTACCATGTTCAGCTCCTTCAAAGTAAATGGTGCATCGAAGAGATCAGTGGACATAGTATTTAAAGGAGCACAATGGTATTCAGACACGAGTGGAACAGTCTCTGGATGGTGGGGCTATTTTATTAAAAAATAATTCAGCTGTTTCCCTAGTAATTGGTGACGGTGAGCAACCACATCTTAATCTGTTGATGTTCTTCCACACTACTTAAATTGGGGTGGACGGGGACAAGGATGTGCAAAACTTCACCCAACTTGCACGTTTTTTCCTACAGAGAAGACGTTTAGCTCGGGCACAAACTTGTAAGTACGCCAACAGATTTTGGGTGGTCATCTCCCTATTATAATGTCTTTCAGACTCGTTTCTCAACCTAACTGCTGACGTGCATTCTTGGTCCCACCATGGAGGTGACGGGATTTGTTCCGGGCGCTATTTTTTAATGGGAAACAAGAATCTACACTAGAAGTAACTGCTCCAACAAATACATCATAGCAATGCTTGGCATGGCGGTGATCAGAAGGGTCGGGTAAACTTGAATTTAAATTTGGAAGAGTACCATTTTTCTCCTCCAGTAATGAAGCGAACTTAAACCAATCTGGTTTGGACAGGTTGTAGAGGTAGAGGTAGAGGTGAAGTAGAGGTGAAGCTTTTTCTAAATAAGTTATTGTTGCGGATCTTCCTGGATCTTGAACAAATTTCAACGTAGCTAGCCGATGCTTGGACTGTAGAATTAAAACTCCTTCGATAATTTTCACTTCTTCTTTATTCGTATCTTGAGGGCCGGAGAGCTTACAAAAATCGCTCAAATCGACCCGTCTTACATTTGCTGGGGTGGCTCGCACTTAGCTCCGTACATAATCAGTTGGTTAGCTTATTACACATTTTACCCCTTCTTGGCGAAGCCAACCCCCACTCTTAACATCTATGTATCACATTATCGTTAACTACTACATTTTACTGTTTCTCTTATTTACATTATAAATCACGTTAAAAACATTCATACATAACTCGCATCGTGTCTTGGGATTAAGCGTGACTGTTTTGCGGTATGACTGAGTTTTGGTAGCATAACATAGTTTCGTGAAGGAGTCGGAACTATTTTGTTAGCCTCCACATATGGGATTGACTTCTCAGCCATAATAGTCTTGATAGCCTTCTGTCTGCCAAGCTCAGGGCATGACTTGCTATTGGCAAAGTGGTTGCCCAAGCAAAGCACACAGAAAGCCTCGCCTTCAGAAATGTTGCAACCATCACCGGGGTGATCGTGGCCACACTTACTGCAGCGTGGTTTTGAACGACATAGGTTCGCCACATGTCCAAATCTACAACATTGACGGTACTGTATAGTCGGGTAAATGTACTGTACAACTGGAAGCGAAGTACAACAACAGTATACTCTGGGAGGTAGAACTTGGCCATCAAAAGTGATAACTCAAGTCTCTGTTGCTTTCTAATCGACTACACCGTCATTGTTTGTTTTCCTACTAATGCGTCGGACTTATAGAATTTTACCACATCCTGCATGTATAGACAAAAAGGAAAAGGCTTCTTCTTCTGAGATATCCGTGGGGACTTCAGAAATAACACCCATCCGAGTGATGTTAAAGATAGGGATAGATGCTGAGTAGCCATGTTTAGATAGAACATTATTAACAAGAAATGCATTTGCATCCTGGGGAGAAGTAAATTCTACTGAGACGCGGTTTCTGCCAACTTTTTTTACTCCATCACGACGAATATTTGCAACTTTGTTAAAGATTTAAAACTTACCAAAATTGACGGGATGTAACGTGGTGCCTGCGTTTGGCGTAGCTTCCAATCGAGAGACGTGCACAATGTAAGAACCTTTATCAACGGCCGAGTATCGCACGCGACCGATTTGGCTTTTGGCTGTTTACTTGGTGGAGTAGGAGTAGTGGTTTCTTCAGCATTGGGACGTTTTCGAGTGCTTTGGGACACATCCATATCTGTAATACTACAGAAAACGTCGCCAAATTGTGACTGTGAGTTTTGGGATAAGGAGATTTGGGTGTCAGGAGAGTCAGAATCGGGCGGTTTATTTCTTTTCATCTTTAGGTCTGGAAAATTTATAATAAGCACAAAACAAACCTGTTTACGAACACAAGCACGGTACAACTATACAAAATCAATCACAAAAGTCACAACAATTACTCGGAAACAGTTAAAACTTTTAAAATTCTTAAAACTCTCAAAACACGTGCTCACCAAACAAACCCGTGGTGAGAATCGGGAAATTAATCAGTGATCGAAAAATATATGTTTTATTATTTTTGACTTCATAATCTAATAAAGTCACATTCCAATAAGACTTCTTTTATGAAATCAAAAAATAAAAAAAAGCAGTCCTTGCTGAGTTTTTTGCTGGTTCTTTTCAGAACAAGGTAGTAACTTTTCACGGTCCGTAGTTTTGCGAATCATTGGCATAGTTTTCGACTTTCACCAATACTATGTAACAGAATAGATTGAATTGATTTTGATATTTATATTGATATCATTCGACGTGTCGACATATACAAATATAAGCTGAATTATGCGCTCCGCTTTTTGTTCTTCATTCCAAACATGAATTTGGATGAAAGTTACGAGCAACTTTACACGTAAAACATAATAAATAACTTACGATTCAAATAAATTCAAATTAATTTGAAAGTTTGATATCATAAGAAACACGAAACGATGTCATATTCATTGATTTTCGAATTTAAAAATAAAAATTAGTTCTTGAAATCATACTAGATGTCACTCGCGATTTTTGGATTTTGTTTATAACATTCATTCAAATTTTATTTCTGACGTAATAAATGTAAATTGAGTATTTTCTATTAATAAATATGACATCGTTTTGAGTTTCTTATAATATCTCACTTTCAAACTAATTTGAATTTATTTTAATTGTAAGTTTCAGTTGTTTATTATGTTACGTGTAAAGGAACGATGTTTGGTTGATACGTCAACATTAGTGATGAGCCAACTTATTGGTTGCTCGTAACTTTCGTTGAATTCAGGTTTGGAATGGAGAACAAAAATAATGATGAAGATGAAGTGTCATTATGCATCCACAAAACGAATGATATTAACATAAATATCAAAATCAATTCAGTCTAGGCTGTTACATAGTACTTGTGAAAGTCGAAAACTTTACCAATGGTTCGCAAAACTAAGGCGGGAGATCTCGTACTGACAAAAAACGGCAAGAAACTCAGCAAGGGCTGCTTTTTTAATTTCAACTAAACAACTCAGCTATACTATATTTGAGGGAACGTAACCACCTAACGCACACGATACCACCGCAGAGATTTTAAGAGACCATAACTACTCTAGGTACTTAGTAAATAATATATTTCAATAAAACGGATTTCTAGAGTAGGTTGTGTAGGAAGTCAAACGGTTATTAACAATATTATTGTAAGAACCAAAAAGCACAAACCCACCGTACGAATTAACTTAACACATAGCTCGACGTCCGCCTTCGACATGAAAGATCAGTAGCAATAGTATAATAACTTTGTGATTTGAAATTTAAAGTTATAACCTTGCTGTTCGTTTAGAGCAGACGTTTCTTGTTGATTGCTGAATGTTTATTAAGATGATTTAATTATGAATATAAGATTTAATAACTGATAATAGTTTTATAATGTCTTAATTTCGAAAGCACAAGTTATTTGCACGTTACACTTTGCACAAACGTCATTTTAGCCAGCAGTTATGTTATTTTGTACGAATGCATAGTATATTTGATACATATCGGGTAAGTTTATTAATAATAAACGAATTTCTTTATAATAATGATCGTTTTTATGACTTTTGTTTTTGATTAATAAACCCTATTCATCCATTCACCATACATAATATAAACATATTATTGAAACTTGATGTAGTTTTGTTGTTGTAAGTTCAACAAACAACTAATAGCAATAAAACTAACTTACTTAGTTATTATTTTTTCAGAACTTTTGTTAAATATTAAAAAAAAAAGTTCCTAGACCTACAATGACATAAGTACCTATTTTATTTATAAAACTATATGTCGGTAATATTATTGTATACCGTAGTTAGATGCTACTTTTAATTATATCACAGCATTCAATTGATTTCCATAAATTTAAAAAACCTCTGTGCTCACTTCCATTATGTTAGTTTCCATTTTCCTCTATACAAATAAAAAATAAATTTATTCAAAGATTACTTTCTATTAATCGAGTTGCGTTTGCATAACTCGAACTAGTTAAATTTCAACTCGATATTTATCAGAGTTATCAGATCCATAACAACACTAACAAATCTATTCTCTTTGGTTTAACGTCATGAATTGACGTTTAGATCCAACAATTTGTGCTGCCATCTAGTGACATAATTTTCTGTAGTTTCTTTATTTTTTTTAAATACTTCCTCGAATATCATAGACAATATCCAAACATTGCAAATGACATCTAGTATGATTTCAAGAACTAATTTTTATTTTCTTTACTTCCTCAGTCTAGAGATGGAAGTTTAAACGAAAAGCACTTAATTAAGGATGCTTTTCTAAATAAGTGTAAAAGCGGTTTTTAACTTATAAGATAAGGTATAAGGTATGGTAATGCTTATTTTATGTCCCACCATCTATCAAGTTCTGATGTAATTACTAGCTTCAATTATTTTTTCTATCGGAGGGCGGCACTTTATTTAAATGCATTGTATTATACTATTACGCGTAATATCCATCTAGTCTTTTTTTGCAACAAACTATTTTAGTTGATTAATCCAAACGCTTTTTTAAACGGAACTTAAAAAAAAACAGTACGCTTTTCGTTGTCGGAATAAGCGCGCGTTGTGTTGAAAGTTAATTCATTGCATAAATTTAAAGTTAAACTTTATTATATTGATTCCAGACAGACCTAAGTCTGTGATTTAGTACGAAGGAAAATTTATTGATTGAAATAAAGTACAAAGAAATAGATGTTATCAATATTTTGTTTACTCACAACAATTTTGTTTTATTTTGAATTGTAGTAGCTCGTTAGCTTTGAAAATATATTTATTATTAATTTTAGTCAAAGCTAGTTAGTTTCATAAATAACTACAACACAACGTTGCACGCTTATTACAACGATTTCCTAACGTCAGTTGAAAAAGGTTTTAAATAATAAGCTGTTATAAAAAACGCTTATTAAAAATCGTACAACGTAATAACATAAACATAAAAGAAGAGGACCGGCCATACCTACGACAAAAGCGTATATGCCTAAACTTCAAATGCAAATTCTTCGATGGCGGATTGTCATAGGGCGTGACCCAAGATATCGATATTTGTATCGACATTGAAGTCATATTAAATAAAAGTTAGTATTTCGTGAAACTGCTACAATACTACTACTTATTAAATAATATAATATAATTTTCATTGTTAGGGGCATGGCTAAACTATTACCTATTACACTTCTATTCATTTCACACTTACGTACCAATCCTATTTATGATTATTATTAATTAAATTGAAAAATTCACGCCAGTATCAAGAAAATAATATTTTTTTTAAAGTGGCGTGAATTTATCAATTATTTATAATGTGTGACCTGCTAATGTGTACTTATGGAAAAATAAGAAAAAAAATATATCTTATTAATCTTTTTTATTATAAAATAAAATTCGAAAATTTTCGAAAGAGTTGTAGCGAATAGTAGTGCTACTTAGGTATCCGATACCAAAAAAAAGATTGAACATAATTGAGAAGTTGTGGTCGTGGTAGTTGAAAATATCATAAAAGGTGTAAATTTTCGAATTTAATTTTATAATAAAAAAGATAAGATATAATTTTTTTCTTATTTTTCCATAAGTACACATGAGCAAGGGTACCTCTTGGCGCCCGCTTATCGTTGAATTTTGGGACACGTTGTATATGTTTTATTGTTTTGGTGGAAAGTGACATTTTGGTCCAATGAAGTCATTTTTTATTTTTCAGTACGAAATTAAACAGGGTGCAAAAGCAGCCTTTGCAGTTTCTTACCGGTTCCTTTCTTACAGTTTCTTCTTTTCTCGGTACAAGGTTTCCCGTAATAGATTGCTGAACTATAAGCACAGAGTTTCTACTTTCTTATATGCTTGTAACTAGTAAGCCAACTTGTCTATAAATTTATTCAATAAATTGTTTTGACTGAATAAATTTCGCTTCCTCTTCATTAAGTGAGATACCGTGCGTACTGTGTCACAATTTTAGTTCAGAACATCTTGTTTAGTAGTAAATATAGAAAACTTAAAACACCTACATAATCTTTGTATTATATTATTGGTAAAAGAACATAAAAATACTGTAAACTTTGATGAATAAACAAGAGAAAATAAAGAAAACAAAGTTGGTGATGAATAAGTAACAATTGGCAGTTAAGCCGTTATTTCCACCTTCAATTATAACGTGTCTTACAGACACGAATTTACAGATGGCTTATGCGTCCTGATCACTGTGTTAGTAACGTATATTATAAATAAATTGATAAAAACGGCATTTTATTTTATTTATATTGATTGATTATGTTTGGGCTACTAGAACTGAATTGGGCGATATTAGGCTACTTAATTCTTAAGAAACGGCGATATTCGGGCTAGGGCTGTTGACAACACTGGTGACAACAGATAATTTTACATTTGGCAGATTGCTTGAGAGGAGGTTAATTTTTCGTCCTTTACGTAATCTTTTTGTCGTCTCTTAAAAGAATTCAACTTCAAAATGTTAGGACGCTTGGGTAAAAAGCAACTAGAGGTTGCCACTTCTTTCTTCACATCAGCAGCAGGATTTGGAGGTGCTGCGTTTGTATCTCTTCTGTACGTGACCGACTGGAAGGTGTTTGTTACGTACATTCCGTTCTATTCAGGAAAATTCCCTGAAACTGATGACGAAAAGTGAACCTAAATATAGACCTAAATCGAGTTTATTGTGCAAGTAAATTATTATGTTATCATAGATGTAAATATAAGCAGTGAAAAGTGAATCTTGGTTTCATTTCTTTCATTTTTTATATATTATATGCAATTTTAAAGTATCTATTTGGGAATAGGACAAATAGAAAATAAATAGCAATGGTAGATTCGAGTGGCAGGTATGGCGTTAGAATCTTAGCTTTACTTAGGTCAATGGCTCTTCAAGAGATCTTACAACACTATATGTTTGGCGACACTACATGAAAATATTATTGATAAGATAAAAGTATCAAAAACCAGTTTTAAAAAATATGTATTCTCTATATAAGTAAAATATAATACTTATCTGAAAGGTGGTTCCTATGTTCAAGCAACTTTTATTGAAATTGGGAAGTTAATATTAACCAATATAACAAATCTACCTTTTGAGATAAGTATGTAATTTTTTGAAGACATTATTAATTTAAAAACAATGGCCAGTTTCTGAATTGAGTAAAGCACAAATACTCAACTGATTATTCTCAATAACTTAAGCTCTTAAACTTAATATGGCAAAAAATCTTAGTTTTATGAAATTGCTATCAACTGACTTTAATTAGTGCCGTGTGTACTTTTACAGTCATTTTACATAGATTTGGTTAAAATGGTAACCCTATTTCTAAGATTTTTACCCGACTGCGCGACGCAAAGGAGGGTAATGTGTTTATCAGTCTATGTATGTATATTTGTTCCTATGTGGCGTTCTAGAGACCAAATGCGTAGGCCGATTTTGATGATTCTTACATCAATCGAATCGTCTTAACCTTGTGAGTGTCACAAAAGAAATGACAGTAATCAAAATTTCCCCTTGGGAAGATTTGATTGGTAAAATTTTAATGGACCCCGACTGTGAGTCGTTCTGTTCTGTATTACTTAACAGAATTCTAAACTACTGGGCTTGTTTCTTTCTTTTTAGTTTGTATTAGAGTTAATTTTTTCACGTATTTTTTAAAATTCGTGTTTATGCAGTCTGGTTTTTTTGTTTTTCTTTAAATTATTTATTTTTTGCTGTCGATCTGTCTGAACTGTCGATCGTGACTGTTTCTTGGGAACAGTAAAAGTTAGCCAGTTTAATTTTCACAGATGTATGATTCTGTTGCCAATTCAACAACATACCATGCCAAAATAACATAATAAAATAAATATTTAAGGGGGCTCCCATACCACAAACATGTTTTTTATGCTTGTTTCCAGTACAGAACCACAAGTCCAACAGTCCAAATCAAATGAGGAGAGTGAATAAGCTGTTACTAGGTTAATGCGCTATATCACCCAAGGCTTCATCACCACTTACCATCAGGTGGGATCGTAGTCAAGTGTTAACCTACAAAGTATAAAAGAAAAACTTCGAAAAAAAAATTTGTTATTGAATATCTGCTTTAGTGTACATGCTATCTTAATGTGTAGTCGTTTTGGATATTTGGTATGTCTGTAATTCGTGGTATCATTGGAAAAGAAAATCTGAGTATGGTAAAATATGATGATTAATAGGTGTACGAAAAACTGGTAGTGCCACCCTCTTTAATTATCAGCTCTACGAAATAGGGACAAATATCCAAATTATGTAGTTTCTGAGAAAAACGGTAGACTGATGTTAGCCCAGTAGTGCTACAGCTAGAACTGTATTTATAATTAATTTCAAAAAACTCCAGGTCATCATTTAATCCCCTATATATCAGTCTGGGCCATACCGTGATAATTTATTAAAGCAAATATACATTGTGGCATTCTGCCGTCGTCAGTACAGCATCGCCACGCTAAATCTTCAAAACTATAGGCCTTAAACAGCTTTTTTTGGATTTAATCCGGCGTGAAGGACCAGTTTCAGCATGATTGCTGCACTCTTTTGGGTTTCCACCCATTAAAACATTTCATACTATGACCGTAATAGGAACTTGCCGGGCAAAAAAAAAATACGACACCAACTAACACTGGAGCGTGTCATTACTGTATCGTCAATATTGGGGGAACCGAATGAAAAGGAAAGTAGGTAAAATTACAGAGTAATAAATGATATTCTAAATTATTGAATATCATTACATAAATCTGTAAACATTATGCGCAAGTCTGTAAGTTACGAGTGGAAGAGTAAAACTCAAAGATTTTGTAGTACAAGTTTTAATTTTTTATTACATTTTCTACTGTGATTGAAATTTAAAAAAGTGCAAACAATTTGTATATGTTAATTATACTAAAGTTAAATATCTACACCAGTTAAGTACCAGCGAGTGGGCTATTCTAAATTGAGTAAATATGTAAAGCACAAATATTAAAATTGCCCACTGTGTTCCATAGACTATACCTCTTTCCTCTGATTACTATCTTGTATGGAATGTTTCCATTATTTTGGGACCCCATAAGTAATTAAGCCACTTACCTACGTTTACTTTGGAAAAGGAATTCAATTTTAATTTTTATTCTTTATAAATTTACATTTAAAAAATCTCATAAATTTTTCTTTGTTAAACAAGTTGAATATCACAAATTTCATAACAATAAAAATTAGACCATTTTCAACAAAATTTTGCTAAATTATACATTTTTGCACTGAAAGAAATCATTCTAGTAACATTGTGCAGATCTCATATTAACTACAGGAACTAAAGTTTACTCTAAGTATTATCACTAGTACATCCTGTAAATCAAACATTTACATACTTAATCGACAACTAGGTTGACTTTGAACCTTATCAAACTTATTAATTCATCTTACATTTAACTAAACCACAACAAAACTTATAATTATGGACTTAGCAGGGATGGATCGTATGTAACTTCATTTTGTGTAGTATGAATTCCTAAGGAAGAAGAGTAGAAGTACCTATTTGTGAAATACATAGGTTTTTTTAAAACAAGAATATTTAGATTTCCTCTACCCTCTTAAACAGGTGCTAATTTTCCTTCGATCACAAACACAAGACATGTAATTTAAATTTCGTGTAACTTATTTCTACAACACTAATCAATATCAAACATTCATAAGCTTAGTTTTTGTTATTAGTAATATTAATTTTAATGTAGTTATGAAAAGTTTAAGAATATACTGTACACACAGTAACAACAACAATCTTCTTATCCGTAGGTATTAGGAATTAAGCTGGCAACATGTTTTGTATATGTGGATATTTTCAGTTAATAAAAGCCAGAGAAATATAATAAAAATAATATCTTTTCCTCAAAGAAGTGATTACAATTGAAATTATTATATTTATGTAGAAAAAATATCACAAACAAAAAAAAATATTAACGTACTCCAAAAAAATATTGAGATTTAAAAAGTTTAATGGTCAGAATACACATGAATGAATTAGACCTTTGTTAATATTCTTAACAATCTTCAAGAAGTTAAAATAAAGATATTACTTAATAGGCCGATTAGTTAGTAAAGCTGTACGTGGACAAATTTTATACCAACACAATAAATATCTATGGGAGGCACCAAAAAGCGCTTTCTTGTTTCGTTCCAATAAATTTCCTATTGTTACAAGGAGCAAGGTAGGAATAGCGCTTCATAGTTTCGCTAGATCTACCAAATCTATGAAGCGCTCTATGATAGGGCGAACGAAACAGGCAAGCAAAAGTGCCATAATTGGATTTCATTCTATTCTAAAACTTGCCTCGTGCCGGCACTGCCTCGATAATTCTAATAATTTAGAATATACATTTCATGGCAGGATCACGAGGAATCTATAGATCTCATGTTTATCTTTAGTTCTTAAATTTACGATTACGTTATTTGAATTTAAGAGTCTACTTACCGTCACAGTTGATGTTAATTTTACTGCAAATAAGCAAGGCAGGGATGCAACACTTCATTTTATTTGTATTCATTTGACTTTTCCGAATATTCATGATAGCCGACTTTAGTTATGGACACTTTTATCCCTAATCACTTGGGTTAAAATGAGACATATTAATATCATTGTTGGGTTATTTTTTAAATGAATTTGGTCTGGAAATACATCTCTTAACGTTTCATAATTGGACAATGACCAACAAATGTGGTTAATATTATTAATTAGTATTCGGTGGATATAATATTATGTAAGGTTCTATTTATCGAATCCCTATATGCAGGCCCGGATCTACGTTTTTGTCTAATCTCTACGCCCCTGAGGCCGACGTTTTTATGTTGCCATATTTTTGAAGTATGGCAACATAAAAACGTCGGCCTCAAGTATTTTTGAAAAGGATTTATGATGCTCGTTTTTTTATTAGGATACCGTATTTTTGACTGTAAGCAGATATTTTATGTATCTTTAATGTTTGGCGCCCTCTTTGACACTGGCGCCCGGGCAAGGGCCCCCACTCGCCCCCCCGCCCCATTTCCGAGCTTGCTATATAAGGACGGTGTTTAGAAGTGCAGTTCTGTGTCGCCGCTGCCAGGCGCGTCTTCGTCATCGGCAGGGGCGCCCTCAGGGGGCACGGGGGCGGTCGAGTGTGTCGGGGGGCACGCGGCTGCACCCTTAGTACGAGTTCCCGGTAGTTCAGCACCGTGCGCGTCTACGCACCTGTAATTAAATAAGTGTACATCATCATCAGCCCTTTTACGTCCCACTGCGAAGGTTCGGGCTTCTTATGGATGGTTAAGGAGTGATTTGTGAGTGATGGTGATTTCTTATGGATGGTTAAGGAGGATGGGATCTTCCACGCTGGCCCAATACGGATTAGAGGGTATTAACGACTGCAAATGCAGGCGGGACCAAGGGCTAACGTACCTTCCGCAGTTTGAGATAATGATTTTAAGGGTCACCCAATCCGACCGACCCTTGCGAAAGTTGCTTAACTACAGAGATCGTAGGCCGCGGCGCTTATCCACTACGCCACCTAGCTACTCGTAAAATAAATGTATATTAAGATACAATTAATACAGCTCACCAATGTACACACGGGTGCACGTCAGACTATATATCGTGGACTTTGTCGACCGCGCTTCGTATAGAACTTCCCTACTAACAAAGGTGCAGACCTTTACGGTGGTGGTGTGTAGCGTGACGTACGTATACCTTAGCTTTTTTAATTCACTGCCTATCTTAAGTAATACTCTAGTAACTGTTCGGTAGACGGTTGTTTAAATTCGACATTAAATTACGAAATATCGTTTTTTAAGCTATCACTTGTTTCAGAGAGGTAAGCAGGTAATTACTTGTATTCCCCGATGAACAGCTTCAAGGAAAATATTTAGATAGAAATATATTTCAACGTTGAAGACCTATCATCATTTACAATTACTTGAAATTCGCGTAGTGAGTTTTGCTAGTGTAACTAAATTTTACTAGGCAAATTCACGTCACCAAACTACACAAGTTGCAACATTTTTTTTATTTGTGTAGATACATATTATATTGTTTTTGTGTCATTTGATAGGATAAGGTCTATAACTGATTTATTATACTTTAAAATATAATATTCATGCATTTCGTTATTGCCAAAATCGTCGCACAATAATTGCTATAACATTTATAAAAAATATATACAGGGAGCAACAAAATGACCGACACAGCCGAAAGTTTCAAGTTAGGTAATATGCAAACGTTCATTTTATTTGACAAATATTAAAAATAGAGGAGGTGTAAAAGAAATTAAATTTCTAAGTGTTGAGAGCCCTATAACGCGCATGCGCAATATCAATTGTGCGCAGATAACAACGGACCGCGAAATACATTAATTTAAATTAATTATTTACCGATATCTTAATGTTAGTCGATGCAGAAAATATCTAATTCTTCTCATGCCAGTGCATGCACGCGCAAAACACATCACATTTCACACAAAACTAAACACAATCTTCACTAAACTAACCTTAACACTCAAGACGAACACTGTAGTATCTTATTAACAATTTTTTTTTTTAAATGCACTAGAACAAAAAAAAAAATTGACAAGAAGTCGCTTTGATTCGCGGTAAGGTGGCAGTGATGCAATAACGTGCCTCACGCGCAAATGTCCGGCGGTGACTGAAACAAAGGCGCCGACGCCGATGGAACAAAAAAGCCGCGCGCACTGTGAGTGAATGGAGTGAAGGAGACCGGTTCGCTTTGCCTTTGATAACTAGGGACGAATTCAGTTTATCTATTTTTCGAATTCGTATTTTGTTACCATGCAATTGTTTTTGAATTTTCTTTTTAAATACATTTTAAATAAGTAACCAAACCCTTACTTAGTGTTGTTATGTTAATGGATGATGTATTTAACTACTTTAATAAATGATCGTGTTATTTGACCCATTTAGTTACATTTTTTTGGAAACTCTGACTATTAGAAATAATGTAGTAACGTAATGTAAATTAGTTAACATTAGAATAATCTTTTTACAATGATTTATTAAATGTTAGTCTATTAATTAATTTCAGCATTTTGACTGATTCGTTTAGAGATAGTCAGTTTGAAATCGTTAAAAAGCAGTTAACTAACATTACTTAGTTTTCGTTTGCGATTTTAGTTTTTTGATGATCAGTTGATAGCAGTTTGATAAAACTAGGACTATTTGACTTGTGAAATTAGAAAAAATATAGGTTATTGAGAATAATCAGTAGATTTTCTACTTTTTTCAAATCAGAAACCGGCTGTTAGTCTGTTAATCGATTTAAGCATTTTGACTGCCTTGTTTAGTGATTGTCTGGTAGAATTTGCATGAAAGCGGTCTCATAAATCATAAACTAGTTTATTTCGTTTTTAGAAATGAAGAAGTCAATGACCGATTAAAAACTTGTTCCTTAGTACGTCCCAAAAACAGCTGACTCAGGGTTGAGAACACTCATTTTTTTTAATAACTTTGTAATTGAATATCTCCGAAACAATTTGACCTAGACATATAATTTTTTTTTTTACATCATATTAAAGACAAATAGTACTCTTCAGGAACCTCGGGAGTGTCGGTCGTTCTGTTCCACCGAGTATAATAACAATTAAAATATTTCAGTTACTATTAGTTTATATTTTCTTTCTTTCTGTTTCATACTCAATAATAAATCGAACAACTACATAGATACGAGTGTCACTAATGCGATAGTTTTTGTGTATAAACCAAAGTTCACAACCTCAGCGCGACCATCGTGCGTTGGCATAAAAAATGATGTACATACATTTCATTACCTTCCGGTGTATTCTCTGTGCTGAGTGGTAAGTGTAAGTTTTACGCTGACGCGTTCACTAGTGAGCGCGTTAAGAATTTGGAGATTTGTAGTTCTTGGTAGTTACCGCTAGGGGCGCTGTACCGGATTCCATACTAAAATCTTAACGCGCTCACGATTGACATTGAACGTAAACGTCAAAAAAACTTACACTAAGCGCTCTGACGTGCTTGTTAAACTTACCAGCAGACGCCTATGGCAGCGTGACACTGCCTTGGGAGGTAGAAGCCGCTCGCGTCGCATGCGGGCACATACGAGGCACGGTGGGGCGGGAGGGCCCGTGCGAGCGCGGCGCAGGGCCGCTCGCCGCGACGTAAGCACCCGCACCACGCCGCGCGAGACACGCCCACGCCGGTACCGTCGCCGCACGATGTTAAGAACGGTCGTAGACATCGCTCGCGGTCGTCGTGTCCTGTTCACAGAATCGTCCCCTTTACGCGTGCCATATAAAAATAGTATGGGTATTTCAACCAAATTGGACTTAGCTGTCATTTTAGTACGGACAGCAAAGAGAATTAAGTTCGTTTTATATTTTTCGGATTCTTTTAACGACATACATATGTTTATATTTATCAAGAATTAATAAAGTAAGTATAATTTCAAAATTGATCTAAATATAATATTGCCAATTTTGTCATATTCTTATTGGGCTCCCTTAAAAACACACACAGAAAGAATTTATGTCTGTGATAATGATACACATTTTTTCTCTCTTTTAATAACATCAGAACAGGATAGACCATTTGGGGGCGAACCGCGCGGTGTATGGCCTCCGGGCCGATCCCGTGCATCGCCTTCCATGCGAGGGACATCGCAGTTTTAGTGGGTAAACTCCTGCTTCTTGTCTAGCCCCTTTCGGGATGGGGTCGCAGGAGGAGTCCCACATAACCCGTGGAGCCCGCGCTGGGTGAAGCGGGTATGGGTAACGCATTTCTCAGCGTCAAAAAAAAAAGGACAGTATAGACCATAGCATGGTGTCACGTCATAATAAGCTTGAAGTTGTTGAGTTATGATGTAGGTAGCGATAAGAATTTTTACAAACCAAATTTAATATAGAAGACGGATTTGTCAAAAAAAGTCTTCAAATAACGAATTTTTTTAAGAAAATGCGCGAGTAGTTTAAGTATATAGATTTTAACCAGTCGTAATTTAGCACACTGGCACTGCTTAAATTTTGTAAGAGCTTGATGATATTATATGCAAATCTTACTTAACCGTAGGAAAAAAATGTGCATTGTTAGAAACTTACCCTACATATATCTATACACAGAGCCGGCCAGTTCATAAGTTGGCAAATTATGCAAATGCCTAGGGCGCTTTTCTTGCTCTTGTTGTACCTTAAAAATACTTTTGCTCTTTGAACATGAGTCCATGTTCCACGGTATTCAAAAGTACAAAACATTAGTGTTTTATTTTGTGGTTATTTTTTACAGGCGTTGTTCAAGCGTGTTGCCTTTGGCGCCAAGCATCAAAGTTTTGCCTAGGGCGCCAAGCACCAGTGTTTTGCCTTGGGCGCCAAACATCAAAGTTTTGCCTTGGGCGCCAAGTATCATTGAGCCGGCGCTACGTATTTTTTGTGTATTGTCATTTATGTGATATCTTTAAAGAAAAATGCTAAAAAAAATCATCGATCTAGGGATCTCCTGCCTGAGACTGGTGAATTTATTTAACTTTAAAACTTAAAATATATTGAATAATAGCCTTAGTTCAAGAGTTAGGATAACTGTTTGTTTTCGGCAAAGGGCGCCAATACTTTCTTCTCAATTTTGTAGCTCTATACTTGAATATTTGTTTTTAGTTTATTATTGCTTTTTAGAAGTTGGTAGAGAATAGAAATTGTTATAAATGTATAAGTGGTTTGAATTTCCCTGATGATTAAAATTCATAGTACAAAACATTATATTATACAATAAATATAATTACGACGACCTTCACAGTATCAGTACTTACGTAACGAATAAAGATTAGTCGGTGATAGGAATCCGTCGCCGTCGGTATCCAAGTGCGCGAACATCCAACGAACTTCTGCTTTACAATCACTAGGGAAACCTGTCAACGTTTACATTGATAATATAAGATTAAATAATCAATAACATTAAACTTGACACAATGTAAACTGAACAATTTAGCGTTATCATTTTTTTTAAATATCGGCTATCTAATAATTGTATTAGAATTAAAAAAAAAACTTTTTCTCAATTTCCTCTTAAGATTTAATTATTTACTAAATCAACTTATTAAATTTAAATAATTATTATTTTTGATCATGACCATACCTTCCTCAGGCGCTCGTGTTTCTCCAGCTTCTTCCATTAACACAGAAAACCAATCGAGCAGCCGATTCGCCATTTTGTCCAATGCACACTCATCAGACTCTGTTGGAAATAATCATTGTAAGGGCTCATAAGTACCTACGTATATTTGTAAAAACACGAGTTTTTTTACATATTGATTCAAAGATATTTGTAATCAAGATCTTAAAAAATGATTCAAATTCTTAAAATTTGGCTTATTAGCGCCAAAAATAATGAAATACGAGGTTCTAATGATTTTTCATTATAGTCTTATGCTTATGACACTCGACAATAGCTGATTGAGGAATTACCTAAGTCAGTATTTCGTCGTGTAGTCCGATCTGGTAGCACTTCATTACGTCCAGAATCAGCCTTTCGCCTTCGCCACCCCTGCAACATATGAAGTTCACTATGAATGTTACACTACCGGTAGTGATGCTAACTTAGCAACTTTATACGAGTAGCTAGATCTAGCTATGCCAGACAGTTAAAATTTAAAAATGTTTTATTTTCTTTTTCTAGCAACCTTTCATTTAAGCAAATTATAGACAGAAAATGCAACAATGGCATCATTTAATTAAAAGAGTGGCATTCTCAAAAAAACTAGGTAAAATTAAAATTATATATTCCGGTGACGAGATTATAAGCACTCTTACTTTAACTTGCCTTTCGTTGTCACATTTAGCTACTGTTAGCAAGTTTTTGGTTAAAAACGTCAATCTGGCAACCTTTTATAAAATGTCTAGTAACTGGCTCAAGCTAACAGTTGGCAACACTGACTACTACTCCGCATAAAGTGTCCGTGGAGGTACTTCATGCGGAGTTATGTGACGTTACGATAAAGAAGCTACATATATTTACCCAAACTGGTTTTACGTGGGTGCGGCGGCGAACACACGGACAAAAGCCGCGGCAGGCGAGCCGTACAGGGCGGATAGTGCGCCTCACACAATTATGCAAGTCCAATCGGCACAGGGACGAGTAAGTGCGGTTATCCGACCCGCACAGGAATTCCGCTCGACCGCGAGCCGGACAACCCACGCAACGTGACCCAGCGCTGGAATCCTGCTGCAAAAGAGATTTGTTAAGTGTTATTTAATAGTAGTTGATACTAGGTAGGCTTAAACACACATTCAGTTTTGTTATACAGTAAAAACCATTGGCAGACTAGAGGTGGAGGGGACAGAGGGGGCGTTACGCCCCAGACCCCTGTGGGGCCTTTGGCTGCAAGTTCCCTTGATCAAAACATAAATTGGGGTCGGAGGGCCCATAGACAAATAAGAATAGCTTGTCAGGTAGTTTACATTTTTTAAATTTAAATTACTTTTACTGCCTTATCTTTCTAATGACCAGTTCTTAGTTTTATATCCGCCAAATATACGCAGGGGAAAGGGGGTTGTTGAAACCACAATATCAGTTACTGCCCCGCTTGGAAAAGTCGATTCGGGTCTGTTGCCGCCCTGAGCTTCGTATGGGGTTAGACCGTCACTGGTAAAAACATTCAACACTGAACAAAAGTTATCAATTTATTAAGTGTATTATCTTTCTTCTATAGTTTGATGCTTTTCTATGTACAATACCTCTGTTTCTGCGCTAGTATCCAGTCTTGTACCAGAATCCGATCCTGCAACGCCTTCATAAAACACGTCATCATCATCGTCGCGGCCCCATACGTTGTCTTCGCGCACGCTGCCCGCAACTATCGTGTCGCTGCAATTCAAAGAAATAATAATGGACATTTACTTAGGAGTCCATTGTACTTTTGCTGCATATTCAGTTGCAAAGTTTAGAAGTAGATTTACAAAGTAAGATTGAAGAAGAGGGGGAACATTATCCAGCTTGTCTCTGGTTATAGAGATATATTTATAGTAAAGGAACCTAATATTTTTTCTTTACAGACCAGAAATAAGGTACATTTTTATTTATAACTTACCCCTTTCGCAATATTTCTTTCTTGTTTGCACAAAGCGCAGTGAAGGCATCTCTCAACAAACATACCTCCCGTCTCTTGCAGACCAGAGATTGGCACAGGGAATCTGAGTATAGAAATGTTAATGAAAATAAAATAATTCTACTTTATTATATTTGATCAATTTCGCATTGACAGTTGAGAACAGGTAGGTATATTTAGGTAAAGCTTTAGGAAAAAATTATAGCATATAAGAAGTTGAATCATATAAAACAGTCAATGGGCGTTTTAAACTACATTTTCAACAAGAGATAAGAATGATTTAAGAGGAAGATTTATATTACAGGACCGAGCGGGCGAAGCCGCCGGCGGAAAGATAGTAATTAATAAAAAACAACTTACTATGAGGGTCGTATATGTAGCGCCGAGGCCGTCGTGAGTGTGCTGGCACTGCGTTGATATTCGCATCCTAATGAACAAACGCAACAAATACCATTTTTTAAAAGCATAATTGATCGATTTATATTTTACTGGAAAATAAAACAAGTAAAATGATCTTTGGCGACCCCCTCGCCCCCAATTTTTGTTAATATATCTTACCTAGGGATTCTTCAGCCTCAAAGCTCAAAGCGGTGTAGGATCCAGTAAAGACTGCTCTGGACCCAACCCAACACCAACAAAATTAAAAATACCCCCCCCCGCCAAAATCTATTCTTGGATCCGCACCTAAATGAGATTCCAGACCAGTTATAGTTCTCGAAAGTGATGACGAAACTTCCGATGAAGACAACTTGTCATTAAAAAAATAAAATCGATCGTAATCGCAAAGCTCCTACTAAGATATGATACTCCAAAAATAAAAGAATTATTACTTTTTTGAAGGTAAGAATTATATCTCACCTTTTTAACACTTTTTAAGTTCGATGTAGGTTCTATTTTTTTTTTAAAAAAAGTAAATTTTATGATTTTAACTCATTTAGCGAAAAAATAGCTCACAACGCGTTGTGGTAGTCACAGAAAGACCACAGCGAAATTCGTATAAAAAACCTCATGAAACCGTATGCAGATATATTAAACTGTTAATTTTCGATTTTAAAGTCGTTGAAAAAGTAAATTGTAATAATACCTTTACTTATCTCATACCATAAGAATCTTTGTACTGACTAACAGACAGACAACTAATACGCGGGTAACATAGGCTGATTTTACTTTGACGAAATCGCGGATAAACAAATAGTATTCAATATACATATATTATTTCAGTTATTATTTTGTATCCCAAATTTGCGAATCCAGACAATAGCATAGCATAGTAGGTACATATTATTGATGTTTACTGTTTCGTAGGCTATATAACCCATATTGAGCGAGGTTGATTGTGTAAACCTTTAATGCGTAACACTAGTCATGAAAACTTGAACTGATACATTTTTTATCTAGGTGTCAATGACAGTGCCCTGTGCAGAGGGTGCATGGATGGCAGAAGAAACAGCCGCTCACGTTCAATGTCACGGAGTGACCCACTACCGGGCAAGACACTTCAAGGCAAGATAAGGGTTAACTCTAGGCCATAGGTCCCCAAACTTATTTCCATTTATTTGTTGGGACTCTTACTCCCCTTATTTAGGCCTGAAGCTTCCACAAGGGGGCGTTACTGCCTACTATGGGACTTCATAGACGTGAAGGAGCTGGAAGCGTTGTGTCGGAAATGCTGGCTGGAATAACTACCGGCCACACACCCTACACCCGCAAAACAGGCATAATATTTCCGTCAAGAAAGGTGTAAGAAGACGTCTATATTTTACACACGGTAACATTTATTTATTAATCCTTTATTGAAAAAAATAATAATCGCAAAATGCGGACTTAACGTCTAAGGCATTCTCTACCAGTCAACCTGAACAGATGTTGGAGATCAGTTATAACGCGATATGAATAAAAACATTATTAATATTTGGTGAACTATGAAAATCTTGTTAAAACGATATTTATGTATTTAGGTCCAAACAAAGCCCAAAGCATGTAGCTCAAAGACATAGTGTTGTGTGAATGTATCAAAAATGTATGCAATGTCATTCGCTCTGCCGCCGCCGCGCCGTCGTCGGTTTAATGAACAGCGCCCCATACCTATATATTTTACAAAGTGTAATAAAGTATAATCCCTTGAGACAATAACTCGCTAACAGGTTGTGACATTTATTACCTATATATCTACATAGGTACATTTACTACCTACTTAAGTAATAAATGTTGACGTCATTCTAGATAGGTTACACGTTTCATGACAATCAAAAACAATAAAAAACGGCTTGAGTTGGCCTCGTCATGGCCTTTTTGGTCCTACTATTACTTCCCTTAACACATGTGTGATGTATTACGCTTGCTCTCATTATACTCGTAGATACCTATATAAACCAAATTCATTAAATTTCTTTCTTGCTACTAAACTTCAGAATTGTTCTATAGAGTAACAATTTTTTTTTTAATTCTCCTAACACGTCTGACCAAACTAAAGCGAAGAGTGAGCGTATAATAACTTACAATAATTTTACTAAAAGAGCGAATCCCTCTTCTGTCATTTGGTAACTATTATGTGCCTATGACCTCAAAGGGCGCGAAACTCTAAATTTATATAACCTTGAGGACCCAATAAATCCGTACTTTTGAGTTGAGGTGCTTATTATTATGGTTTAATTTCATTAGTAGCTTTATAATTACAGTGACTCCATATAATTCTAATTGAGTCGTCGAAAAGAGAGCAGCGTGCTTTCAACAAAAAAATTAGAAGTTTATTGATTGATATACAATTTATGAGAACCTTTGATACCTACATATTACATTAATCGATTTCATTCTGAATTGTTCTCGGATTCTATTTTGTATATTTTCCTATAATCCTAAAGATTCTCAATCTTGATTACTAAGGTGCGTTTCAGCAGGGTTTATGATAGATATAGCTAGATAATGGAGGTGACTTTAGCCTTGGGGAGTGTATAGGATGTTGATGTTGACAATAGTTCACGCCTACCACATCATCGTCGAACTCGAAGTCTTGCTCGCTCCGACGCGCTGCTGCCGCTGCCAGTGCTAGGAGCGTTGCCGCTGCTGATACATACACCCACGCTCGCATAGCTCAGGCCGCCTGTGACGTTCCCTCACCCCACTACACTTAAAATTCACACGCGCGCCCCCGGAGCCCGCGCGCTACTCACTGGCTTGGCGCCGTCGCCCCTCGCCGCGCCTTCATCCTTAGTCTCCTGCCTGTCATGAATTGCCTACATATCATTGTCTCTTAGAGACAACTGAAAAAATGTTTGAATTAAAGAACTTTCTTTAGAAGACTACTCTGTACATTGACGATAAAAATGAGACTTGCGATATTCTCAAAAGGTAATTATGACTTAATCAATACCAATATTAAATTAAGTCTTTTATTCATGGAGTTATTTAGCGTAAAAGAAAAAAATAAACAAGATTAAATATTGAGGAATTTACAAATGCTATTCCGTAGTTGTCATATCATTAATCGGCTGTCCTTTCCTCGATTTTACTTTGTATCAAATATTTTAATTAAAATCATTCGTTATAGAACTACGATAGTATTGGATAGGTATTAGCGTGACTTTATGGGCTTTCGGTATCATTTAACATTTTTTGTATTGTAACTAGAGCATACCTACTATAAGTATGTACTTAGGTAGATTTAAAAAGATCCATCCGAGATCAAATGTCCTATCTGCGAATACTTGTTCTATGCGACAACATCCATATCCCGCGTCCCGTTTCCCGCGCGGCAGACCCTCCTCTCCGCGAAAGCCTTGTAATATTTTAACAGGTTCCGATTTAATGATCGCTAAGCCCACTGTAGCGTTGCCATACGTTATGTCGGTGGTTAAAAGTTAGAATTATCTTTTTACTTATGTTTTGAAGGATTATTGTAATTAAAAAAAAAATCAAATTGAGAACGACAAATTTTGTTATTAATAAGAGATATTGCAAGAAAATGATTTGTTATAGGTCAGAAAGAACAAATCCTATTTGTTACACGTTACTAAGACTATTTAGATTAGAGGGTGGTTAATGTATCGGCGAATGCTATCCTCCTAGCCGCAGAGGCGCTAGGCGTTGCGACACGATTGGGTCGATACTGGCGCGACTTCAGGGTTACCGAACTGCGTGAATACCCCAAAAAGAAGGAAAATGATAATTAGTGATTGAAAATATAATACTATTTATTTATATTTCATGGAGTTAGCTCTGTAAAGTGTTTCGACAGGATCTTACATATATTACTTAATCATTTACAGATCTTGTCTGCGGCTTTATATTATTTTATTTTATTATTAATAATTAAGGTATGTATTAAGTAACATGATAATAAATAATTAATATTAAAAGTGAAAAGTAGCTCTTGATTTTCAAACCGGACAGGAAGTAATTTACGTATATTATATAACAATGTTAATCGATTTGCAAAACCTGAGCCAACACAACGGCATAACTTAGATAAGCTGACGTTTTAAAAGTTTTCAGTAGTGACAAAACAGGTTGTATCTTATTTACTACATAATGATTGTAATTCCCTAAGGTTAATATACCTACCTACCTTTATTAAGTATGACGCAATACCTTCTCTATATTATACATACCTACAGCTGTTTATTTCTTGTTATGCATGGTCTTGAAGTATACTATTAATATAGAAAAATATTTAAAGTTCCGGTGCTCGAGCTGGACATTTAGTATTAAGGTATGTTTTTTTTATGGTTGATGATGATTAAGGTAAGGGATAATTTTGACTGAAATGGTCTTACAATGCTCCACTCGTCCACATACCTACTTACCCAATTCTCTCTTCGGTTTATTGAACATGGTTTATACAAACCGCCATTCAAAATTCTTGAAAAATTTTGTAAATGCTGTGTAACATGTTTAAACGATCGTTATTTTCAATTTCGACACAACAAAAGACAATTTAAGTCCCTACCCAATGTGGTTTGGTTTGGCTGGCTCTCGTTATGTATTTTTTTTTCAAAATTTATAGCAGTCTTGATATATAAAAAAAATAATAATTAATAAAATACAGACAACCTCCGCCCGACTTCAATGGCAATTTCTTGTATAAGTCGCGTTAAGATAAGTAACATTTCTCACATTTTGAGAAGTTTATTAAGTTTATAGGCGGTTTTACTTTCTTAAAAAAAGTTTTTTTTTCATGCTTTTGTGATATTGATATTTTTTTTACATTATCGATCAAAGTATTTTTTGTATAAATTGATATTAACAAACGTGCACATGTATAAAATTAAGTGAGAAAATGGAAATGAATTACATTTATTTAAAAAAAAATGTCCCGCTGTTTTTATTAAATTAAATGGGTAAAAAATACAAGAACCAAGTAAACACTGTCTTCGCCGACCTAACAAACTAAGCGACAATCATTTCAAATTTTATTTAGACAAGAAATTGGTACACTTTGCTTAATAAATATTATAGTTTTTCTACACTCTAGTTACTAGTTTAAATGTAAAATGATATTAGAACAAAATTTTATTTAAGGCTAAGCCTTCATACCAATTTTCATGTTACTAACCCAGTCGAAGTATGACTAATTCTTATATGCTTTTGGAATTTCTCCCTTAGGAATATAATTATAATTAGAATTACATCGAATCTTAATATAAGTTAGCGAAATCTGTGTTTAGGTCGTTTAAAAAATTGTATACCGTCACTTTAGCTAACGTAAGTATGTCGTTCGCAAGGTGAAAGGTTTCTAAAAGCAGTTTGTCTGGTTTTAGTCGGGCGCCTATTGTCTGGGTATAAACGCCATTCGCCACTCACTTGGCGTTACCGCTTACGCTAGGGTTGGTCAATGAAAGATTATGTAACAAAACTATTATTTAAAAAAAATACTAGGTACATACATTTTATTTATAGCAAAACATCTCGTTTTTAAGATGCGTGAATGTCTTAAGAGATATCAATTTTCGTTTAACTCAGTTTCTTTAGTGAATGCTGAAATAAAGACTAAATTTAGTAATATAATAATTTGAGCTTTAGTGCCAACGTGTATAAATGGATATTTAATTGTGAATTTCAAATGACATTGAATGAATTGTGGATCATATCTATAATAATATTGTAAAGAGGTAAAGTTTATAACCTTATTTTTTTTGTAGGGAGTAATCTTCGGAAATACTGATTTGATAATGAAAATTTTTCACCTATGGAAAGCTTCTTACGCGGGTGGTATAAGCTAGAATTTGCGCGTGTGAGTCTCGGAAAACATCTGTACCAAATAATTAAAGATACAAGTTTCATAAAAATATCGATATATTTTTTGGGTCTTAAGGAAATTCAAAAATCTTGTTTGTAAAAACCCAAATATATAAAAAAAAAATCGCCCAATAATTGGTGGAGGTTACTGCTTGGCTAGTAAGCTTGTTCCCTTGTACGTGTAGCATGACGAACTCGAGAGTGTTCTGTTTACACTCAAATGTTACCTTTTTCTGGTGCGTTCATACGATATCTCACTTTCGACCCGAGAAACGTGACATTTGGTGTTGACAAAGTATTCATTGATCTTGTCATTCTAAGCGTGTTGCAATTAAAAAGGCGCCCAGAAGGCATACTCCAGATCATAATAAAAAAACATCTCATTGCTACTTTAAATAGAATGCGATTAGATTAGGAATAAGACTTTATTTTGAAACTAAATATAGTATTTTTTTATTATTAAAACAATTTATTTAGTAACCCTGATTTTTTCCTTCGATATTTGTAGTATTTTTTTATTATTATAGTCACAAGTATTACCAATGTAATATCCCATGTAAAGATGCAGCTGGATGTTAAAATTTGGACGTCTGATACACATTTATTCTTAGGATTTTATTTAAAGTTAGGTCGATATATCGGTTTTTCGATTTATCGTGGCATCCTGCATAAAATACTAAAAAATATAAATATTTCTGAAAATACTACCGTTAATTTGATATGTGAAATCATTAAAACGAAATGAATATCAATTTTCTGTTAAAATTAATCATGCTTGTTATCACAAACTGTTATGAACTGACTGCTGAAATAGAACTAAGGTAATAAATAGTAATAAATATAATAGACAGCCCTACATGCGGCACTTCCCACTGTATTAAAGTTCACTTACAATCGAGGCGGGTGACATGCTTCTATAGTACAAGCTCTATCAAAGCTCCGTTCGATATTTAATGCACCAGAAAATATCAGTTTTGGAATTTTTAAATTTATAAAAGTACAACTACAAATTTTAATCTTATGGTGTATACAACGGCAATGTCGTATTAACAAGACAAAGGTATTCCTGCAAAACAATAATAGACTTTTTAAAGGTAGTCATTTTAATTAAATATATAAATAAATATACAATTATTCACTAGACGCAGTTAGACGGGTGCCACGACTTCTTTATAAATTCGACAGGAAATACGACTTGTCAACTGAAAGAGAAAAATATATGAGTAAATAAATAAATATGTTATTTTTTTAAATTAAATAATTAAATAGTAACACATTTTAAGGCGGCTATATACGATTTAAATTCTTATTCAATCTGTAGATTTACAACCGATTTCTGAATTAAGAAAAGTACAAAATCTCAACTGATTATTCTGTATAACTTAGGATTTTTAGGTTTTATTTGGTAAAAAGTCCTAGTGTTATCAAACCGCTATCAACTGATCATTAAAAAAATAAAATCAGAAACGAAAACCTGTCTAAGTGACATTTAAGATGGCTTAAGTATGGAATGAGACGTGCATAACTTAAAATAAAAATAATTCTGAAACTGGGTGTTAATCTGTTGAAGTTGAGATTGAACGCACGCTACTCTCCAATCAATCCTGTTCACAGTTTCAGTTTGATATTGTTTAGCTGCAGTGCACACGCCGAGAGCACACCGTTAGAACAGCGTTAACAATACAATAAAAGAAAAAAAAAACAAACTTCATTTTCATCAACCTTTTATCAAATTTAACGAAAACAATGACATATTGGATCGAAACGCAAATGACACCGAATTAACTGCTCTACAATAGGTGTTGGCAACCTGCGGCTCTAAGTTCAGTGTACAAAAATAATTATTTTTTTATCGAAACCCTTTAAATCATGTAATCGATGCAGATTTAAGTATTTTCAATATAATATACGACAACAATTGAGAGACAGATATTCAAAGACAATTAATTATAATAAAATAATATCTCAACCACATATTTCAGTGGCTCTTACTAATGTTATACTACTTAATTGTATAACATTATTTTAAATTACCTATGGAAAGAATAGTCTTATTGAGTATTGAGCTCTTTAAAAACAGAAATTTTGAAAATTATTGATATAGCTTTCCCGTCTCATAGGGTTGCCGACCCCTGCTCTATACACATCCAACGTATCCTGATCAGAATGGAGCGATAATAAATAACACAAAATGTAATAAAAAAAATATTAATTGCTTTTTACGTATCATATCGTACATCATTCAACGTTCATTCAATCTATTTTATTAAAACAGATTGAATGCGAAATTATATCGTTTATAGCCTTTACGCTAATCTGTGTGGTACACACGGTTGCAAGTCAGGTTACCGCATATGTCAAATAGGTTTAAAAACAACTGGAGAAATTTGACAGTTTTGTATAGCCTGACTGCTGTTGTGTGTACCTGTAACATACAATACTGATATGATGAACGGATTTTCAGACTAATAAACAAGCTTGTTAGACTCATATATAAAAATAATATATTTCTCTTCCACACTTAGATTTAAGTTACAATTTAGAGAAAAAAACAATTTTAGAGTCGCCAATCCAAGTAGTGGGAACCTAATAATAAAAAAACTTTTAAGTAACTTGTAACTTTTATTGAAATTAACATTATCATAGAAAAAAATATGCTTATAAATGAATGATTTGAGCATACAACGCTGACTCTTACGCTGAATATACAGTCCTGCCTCTTATCCCTATGTCAATAAATCGTATCTAAAAAAAATTTCGATTTTAGATTTATTACACCCAGCCTTTTCAGGAAGAGTATCGTAACATGATAGTAAAAGGTGTTGTTAAATATGTATAGGTATCTTACGATAATTTAAAATATGAATCTAAAAGTAGAAATAAAAAATTTTGGAGTCTTAGTTTTTCAGAGACACCACAACAGTTAAAGTGGGACAAAAAGTCAGAACTTCTAAAAATATATTTATTTTTATCGTCGACAATACTATGCATATATGAAATAATACGTAGTATACTTTCATTTCTTAACATGAATAGGACTAGAACTTTGATTTTCTACATATTCGTAATTCTATCAATCGACTTCACATCAATTAACTTCATGTGATGATTAACTTTTAAATTTACAATACTATGCTGAAAACCGTATCAAAATCGGTTAAGTCAAACGCAAGATAATCGCGCACAAAAATACATACATACAGGTCAAACTAAATTTGTCTGAGACGCTTCACACATGTGCGTTTTGGTCCACCATGAAATACTTCATTCGTTAAAATATTAGAAATAAAGAGTTTTTATCATCTTTATAAAAAACTTAAAGAATTTCCAATTTAAATGAATATTAAAATGTGGTAATAGTAACTAATATTTAATTTCTATAGCAAGCGAAAAAACCTATCGGTTGTACTTACGATAAACACTTTCAAAATTCATAAAAATGAATTTTATACAACTTTTGACTTCAAAGTAAATGGGTAAGGCGCAAATGTCAGTGATCTAACGATTAGTACAAAAACCTCATATTTGAAAATTTATTTTTGGTACTTTATTCAAATTGTCTCTATCCAAGTTATTTATTAATGGATAAGGGGTAAATATACCTTACACAAGATCATTTTATTTTATGTTTAGGGCGCCGTCAATATTTTTATTTACTGATTTGAACATCATTTGGTGGATATTTTATAATTTATGTAGCAACATACCTATAAGTGCATTAAGATAATCTATGGCAACTTCTTCCTTAAGTTATGTTCCAATTCATGCTGCGAATTAATCTATTTGGACTATGTAGAATCATTATTTTTATTTGCTATTATTTGCGAAATTAGAAATAATAAACTATGTTTAGAAATGATAAATAATAAACAAATAGCAATATGTTTGTTGTAATTAAAATATGATTTATGATATTTTAATTACAACAAACATATTGCTATTTGTTTAATTTCATTATCGGAATTTCCCCGCTTTCGTAATTACCCTAAAGTATTTAATTAACCGAAGGACTTTGTTTTAATTTACGGCTTTTTATTTTTAAAGTGAGTTTTATGGCTGTGCAAACTAGTGTTTCTAGGCAAATCAAACCAATTTTTTTTACTCAATTCTCTAAAACGGTGGAACTTTTAGGCTTGAAACTTTGAAGAAACATAGAGGATTGGGTCTAGGTGCTATAATAATTTTCTTCATACTTAGTGGTTAGATTTTTCCTGAATAAAGTACCATAAAAAAACATTCTACTTTGAATTTATATAATTGGATTCACTGTACCTGTGGCGGGCACGGGCTGTGGAGTTCCACGTGTGGGTGCCTTCGCTAGAATCGCGGCTGCCTCCGAGCGCTCCACGCGAGTTGGGCTGGTTTCCACAGTCACGTTCATCCTAACATACAATATGATTATTTGAGCATATTTGTTTTTTCTTTAATAAAGACTGAAACTTCTTCTTTTCATTTTGAGAAACTAAATAGAGATAATCTTCCAAATCATATTCCAACATACGGTGCTCAAGAATGGATCCACCTTTATATTGCTTTAGAGAGCTTATTAGAAAAAAATGGTGTCCGAACTCAGTAACGTACAAATACAAACTCGAACAATGAAACAATATGTGAATAAAAATTATGCAAATTTATTTTACGTTCCTGTCGAATGGCAAAAGACGCCTGTAGTTGAAGATTCCGCTTTTTGATGATTTATGATTTTTGCTCAATACACGTAAACAATGTAAGGTCATAATTTATTACCATAATAATACTAAAATTTATATATTTTTTATATTTTCTTAATTATTGTTAGCATTAGGTATATATCTAAGCTGTGTTATGCTTAAACACTGTAACTAATCCTACCGTGTTTAACTGTCAAACGGCAGTAAGTTAAGAAATAGTTATATGTATGTATATATAATACTCACTTGCAGATATCTGTTGCATCAGATACATCACCAGCTACTAGCCCACGCCAGAATTCATGAACCTATAACCAAGTTTAATAAAATGTACAAGTGCATAGTTAAAGGTATCCAGAATGAGTTTATGAATGACTTAACGAGTGAAAAAAATATACCTTGTTTTAGAGACAATTGATATAAGTATATGTGAGTCACTTTGTATTTGAGGGAATAATGCAGCACTTTACAATAATTGTAATAGAGAAAAAGTTTTTTAGCCACACAGTTATGTCAGTGTATGTACTTACATGACATACACAAATTATTACAAAAAAGAACCAAAATATTCATAACTCTTTACGCCACCAATTCACCACCATCTGTCTCTCTCTCCCTCACTATCTATCTGATTGCAGGCAGAAATGAGATAGACAGGGACGTCTTGGTTTTACGCTCCATCTTAATGCACTCTTAGTGTTTTAGTAAAAATTTAAAAATTCAGGATTAATAGAACAGAACAGCTTATTTAGTGTAACGTTTACACAGAGACGTTACACAAAATCAGTTTTATTGTATGTTATCATGACAAGGCCACCATTATCACCAGGCGTTATCATAATAATATACATCAACAAAATGTAGACTTACTTCATCTACAACTTTGTAGGCGAATTCCTTGCCTTTTGCTTCGCCATCGAACGCAAACTTGTTGATTGGTTTTCCGTCAGGCACTTTGTACAATCGGAACCATTCAACTGTGGCACGCAGCAGACCAGGGAAATGAGTTTCCACATCAGCTATATCATCCAATCGTGAAGCATTTGGGTCGCGTGTATCAATGGCTATTAATTTCCAGTCTGTTTCTCCCTCATCTATAAGCGCCAAAACGCCTAATATTTTAACAGGTACTACGTCACCACGACCAGCTACTCGTTCTCCAATTTCCAAAACATCGATAGGGTCATTATCACCTCTTGCTTGAGTGGACGGGTCGACATGGTGGGGATTTTCCCAGGTCTGTGGCAGTGCTCCATAGTTCCAGATGTAACCATGATGCGGGAAAACATTGCAAACGAATCGTAACGCGCCCTTTTTTACGTCTTGCTTAATTGGGTTGAGTTGTTCAGAAAGACTGATTTCCATCTTGGCGTTGCTCCAACGTGGGACCTCCACTACCATGTTGACTATACGCTGAGTGCGGTCTACCCATAATGGGATGTCATGTAATGGTGAGATTGGACCACTCTCATCCTCTGTTGGCAATTAAAACAAAATTACCAGAGTTTGTAATTATCAAATTATTATTTTTTTTGGATAATTATCAGATATTTATTCAATAAATATATGATAATTATCCGTAGTCACTGTCAACAATTTTTAAAATACAGTGAGGCATCCATAGTTGTTTATTTTTTTTGTATGTTGCTTTAAATCATAAAAATGATACAAACAAAATAAATAAATAAAATATTTTTTTATAAAAAGGGGCTTTTAATTATTTTTCTGCTTTTGTAGGCCATTCTAGATAATGTTCTCTATCAGAAACCATATTTAATAGTTGTTTAAAGATGATTCCCTTTTAATAAGAAGTCCTAAAGTACAAAGAGTTAGTGTAGTGTTATATAATTATCAAAGAATATTTATCAAGATAATAATCGGGACAATTATCAATTATAACAGGGATGGCAAACAAATTTTTTTGGTTTGTTGGTATGGTAGATTAGAAAATTGAAATTTGAATAGATGAAAAATATTAAACACAATTTTTTATGTAATCATTAAATTCTTCTTCTTCTATTTAATTAATGGCATTGCCCTTGTGGATTTCACCAGAATCCAGTGTTTGGCTCAGTTTGATTCATATTTAAATATTTTATAAACCGCTTTTTGTGTGACAGAAGTGAAAGCTCAAGTTAAATTTAGAATTAAAGCAATACATTGAGTTAAAATGTCACATGACTTCACAGTTTTGTACATTTTCTACAAAACTATGATAGTGCAAGCCATCACTCTAAACTTATTGAATTGTATTTAATAATAATTATTTAGTTATTTCCAACTATTGATTTATAAAAGTAAAGCTAAAGATAGAAGAGATCTAGAGTATTTAAAACTTAGTAAATTGCAAGTTCTAAAACTTGTTTAGATAACTGTAAATAAGATTTAATAGATATAATTGCAATATGTATCTTAAATAATTTCCATCTAGGACAGCTGAGTTTGTTTAATATTTATTAATAGTATTAAGGGGTTATATGAAGTTAGAATTTTCAAAAAATCTGAAGTCAAAATATTTATTGACTTTTGGAGATATACCTGAATTTGTAAGGCCATGTCAGAGTGTTAGAAAGTAGGGTCAGAAAGAACTGGACAAGCACTTCTGAAACTTTAAAGTAAAGTGTAAAGTTCTAATGAAAACTTCTGGTTTTATAGATATCCTTGACAATAATCTACTATGTTCTTTTATTAATTAAGAATGTAATGATAAGACTTTCAATTTTATTATTACTTAATAATAACAATGATTTTGAATAAAAAAATGCTAATGTGACAAGTTACAATATGTTCAAATGAATTCAAGGATTTTCAAGGATAGTCAAATATTTTTTTATGAAATCCTTTTCACTTTTGATTTGCTTTATTGTATCATATAATCTAATGTATTAATTAAATTATGGGAAAAATAAATATTTGTATTTATTATATAATTAAGAAAAACTGACTAAAATACTGTTTAATGTCTGTAAATATCATAAACCAAGTTAAAAATGTAATGTTCAATAAAAATTTTATATCAATAGTCAGTATTCTTTGTAAATATTTTTCTTACATGATAGGTATAAAGAATAAATTAGTGGAAGATTACTTTGTCACTTTGCAAATTTGACTGTTGTTTGTTTTCAGCCAGATTTTTTTTCTCAAACAGCTGCAGAATACTTAAAAGTCAAAGAACGGAAAAATAATACTTTTATTTGGTGAAATTAACAAAGTCAAATTTCATATTTTTTAAAGTTATTTACCTACTGACATTTCTCTTTTTGAACTTTAACCATAAGTGACGCACGCGACAAATCGATTATGCATAAGTGGAAAGCTTAAGATTAGAGCGCGTGTGGGGCATGCGAACCTATGAAGTACTGATAGTGGATGTTATCTCAAAACTTACTGAAGAATACCCGGTAGTCAGGAGCATAAGGTGAACCTCTTTCTTCCGCGATGTACATACTGCTAGTCGCACTATTCAAGTTAATAACTACTTTTGAACTAAAACACCGAGTCTTCGTCACACAGGTTTTAATACAATTTCTAGAATAAGACTGTTTTATTCCTCTCAAGCAAGAAGGGACCACAACCGAGTAAATGCAACGTGCCAATGACATTTTGTTAAATAAAAAAATGACATTGACATTTGTCCAGTGTTGCAAGTGCACATCAGTCTGGCAAAACTCAAAAATAAATTAAATGAAGTTTGCATGGCAAATGATGGTTATTGGCGTTTTATTGATGTTGCCCAAGTACTTAAGATATTCTTTATGCGTTGCCACTTTTGAATATCGCCAGATTTCATAATTTTTAAGTTTGTCTATGTTCCTTCTACACTATACGAGTAGTTTTGTTTGTCATCGATGCCGCTTATTTTTGAATTTCGTTGCCTTGATATTTTTATAAATTGTTCAGGGATATATCCTTATTTTATGTACAGAATTATGTACCTAGAAAAATCTTTAATCATAAAATACTTAGACAGTTGTTGATTATTTGGTTGTATACGTTACCGACAATCCAACGATGAATTTTTGTTTACCATCTGGGTAGATGATTAAAAAATACCAAGTAATTAATAACACGTATTTTTTTTAAAATTTTGCGTAAGAACTTTCTACACCACAACTAATTTTTACCATTTTCTTAGTTGTTTTTGAGATTTTTGGAGAAAAGTGAATTTTAGAAATATGCACTCTTCGCAGAAAACCGACTTGAAGCGGTGCCGGTGTGGTGCTGGAGGACCCCTAAGACATCTGATAATTTTTGTTTTTACAGACTGGCAACCCTGGGCTCCACAGTAGAAAACATTTTTTTCTACATGCCCTCATAACACGAAAGAGGAAGTATTTAAAAAAAAACGAAAGCACTAAAAAGCATCTCCACTAGATGCCGACTCTAGCAAAAGTTGATTTTTGTAGGAAACGAATGGACCAAAGACAGTCATTTCCGTCCCTTTTAACTAACATGTTAAAAACTGGAATTTGAAAAGTTCGAAACTTAGATATCAATACAAATATGAAAAAGTACAAATAGAATATGAGTTGTATACTGAGTTTTGAAAACTAATTTACTTTTAAATATGAAATAAAACCGGAAGGGTTTTCATGGAGAAATCAAGAATGTACCGTAGCGACATCTAGTTTGATTTCGGGAACTAATATGTATTTTTTTTAATACTTCCTCATTGCTTGGCCTGTGTGGCCAGCGGAGAAAATGTGTGATTGATAGTCGTGACTATAGGAATATTATGAAACTCGAAAAAATCAAGATGGCGTCGTCAGTAGCAACTATATTGTGCTTTTTTACTTTTGCGCTGTTTTTTATGCTGAAAAATTCAAACGTATTTTTGGCACACATGGTAGCCCTTCGCCTCGTATATACCGATTGAGGGTCTCCTTTAGCTCTTTCATATGAGGTGAAACTTTTTCCCTGACTTTAGGGTAATTTTGGAGACTTACCCCAAAATTATGAAAAGTAAAAGAGCCGTATTCGGAAATGCTTTTTATCTTTTGAGGGCACTCACTGAAATTATATTTTCATCGGCGTCATCTGGCAACTATAATAGTCACAACGATTTGAAAACTTCTGTAGTGCCACTAGGAAAATAAAAAAAAAACTCCATTCTGTTTGCACTATTGAGTGGGCCACACCGGTAATAAGCTGGATTTACAAAATTCAAGATGGCGGTCAAACCAGTGTCCATTTTTTTCAGGAAACTTGGGTATGGCCACCTCTTTGAGCCAATTTTGACGCACATGGTAACATTTGTCAGAGTACTTTTGGGAAAACTATTTTTAGGCAGTTAGCCGAAGTGTTGCCGGGTGAAACAAAAAGAAAAACGGATAATTTTTTATACTTTTTGAGATAGTTGAGGAAACACTTTTTATCGACTTTCGGACTTTTTTTGACGCTTATATTTTAATTTTGAAAGTTTAAGATAGCTGACGAAAGAATTAAAATGACTGATTGACAACACTGAGAGCAAACGTTTGAAATTTTAATTTGATTTTGACCGACTTTACAACCCCGGAGCTATTTGACATACGAGTATATAGAGCGATTGTGTATTTTATCGGCTTGTGGGATATTTAATGTGACAATCCCACATAAAATTCGGGAGTCGAACCCGATATTAATGTTAAATTGAGGGGTATAGAAGCAAAAGCGCTTCAGTCCAAAAATGTTGTTTTTTACATTGAGCACACCAAATTGTAGCGATAAAAAAATGCAAAAATGTATTATAATCGGCACCATGCAAATCCACCTCGATCATAATCAACCAACCAGAAGCAGCCATTTCAAAATTTCTAAGATGGCGAATTAGTTATTTTTAATAGTAAGTTGACTGAGCATAGCGCGTGTTTAATTTGTGTTTTTTATTAAATAACTTATTGTAATGGAAGAAAACATTACACCAGCACGTGCAGGACGAGCACGGAAACGTCTGGTAAATAAAAGTCAGCGGCGAAGAGTGAAGGAAAAAGCAGAAAGGTAACAAATAATTTACTAATATTTTGGCCGTTATGAAAAGGTAAAGTAGGGTTTGCATAGAATGCTTCTTCTAAATTTTATTTCAATTTTCTTTAAATACTAACATTTTATTCGCGCTATACTGAACAGTTTTTTTCTGCTTTTGGTAATGGATTTTATTTTCATTTGCTTAAGGTACTCTACTAAAGATCTTTAGGAACCGTAAGATTGAAGGTTTGGTCCCTACTGAAGTGATGGAGACAACTGGCCAGACTAAAGGATAATTGTCTCCCTCCGAGCTAGGTGTTGTTAGCCCGGGGACCGCGGTCCAACCGAAGTAGGTTGGACGTTCTATTTATGTTAATTGGTAATGAAACTTATTCTGTGCGATGTAGGTTTTCTTTGTTCTAAATGTCTTGTAGTTATTAATTTATGTTGTTTGTATTGGTGCAGCGCCATCTCGTTACTTGCTGTTGAAACTTATTGCAGTTCGTCTTGCTATCGATGGCTGTGACGATGCTAGTCTTCTCGTTATCGATTGTTGTGGCGATGTTACTGCGAAGAATTAGATGTCGCTATGTATCAGTCGCCACAGATCTCCCACAACTACCTGCATGTCAGCACAACAAAAAAAATATTTACGACTGCAAAAATATAAGTTTGACTGATGCTAAATATTTTCATGACGCTTTTTATGCTAATAAATCAAAAGAAGGTCAAGATGCTTTTCTTTTAAAATATTGTGAAGTAGCTGATGTTCAACGTCGTCGTCCCAGGCTAGGAACACAGGGGCCAGCACGCCAGGCAAACTACTCCACGAAATTATTTGTAAGGAAACGGAATTCTAATAGCTTGCTCCACGTTTGCCAATCAACTTTTTTGGGCATATTGCAAATTCCGCAGGGTAGCGGAAATTTATAAAACAACTGGTGGTCTCGTAAAAGAAAATAGAGGAGGAGATCACACATCACATAAAATGTCCACAAACTACAGGAAGTTAAAACATTTATTGAATCCTTTAAGTGTATAGAGTCTCACTATTGCCGGTCTTCTACCGAAAGGAAATATTTAGATTTGACATTAAACATTAAAAAAATGTGGCTAATGTTTAATAAACAAGCAGTGAATTCTGTAAAGCAGTGTTATTTTCGAAGAATTTTTAATACGCATTATAATTTAGGATTTTGTAATCCAAGAACTGATGATTGCTCGAAATGTACTGAACTGGACGAACAAATTAAGAGTGAACAAAATTCATCAGTTAAAGCATAGTACATGATAGAAAAAACAATTCACAAACGTAAGGCTAAAAAATTCTACGAATTATTAAATGAGCGACAAGATGGAATGCTCACACTCTCTTTTGACTGTCAAAAAAACCAAGTTCTGCCTAAAATACCGGATCAAATAACATATTATAGTAGACAGTTGTATGTATACAACTTTGCTGTTGTTTTATCAGTGGAAGGAAAGAAACTTAATCGGGATACTGTCATTAATTTATACTAATGGAATGAAAATGAGTACACGAAAGGAGCAAATGAAATTGCTTCAGCAGTATATCACAAGTTGAATTCTTTGAGCTTTGATGGAATTCAAACTTTGCGACTGGTAGCTGATGGTTGCGGAGCTCAAAATAAAAATTCTATTTTTATCGAAATCGGAATGTGTCTGGTTAAGTAATGCTCCCAGTAATATAAAAGAAATTAAAGTGTTAAGTTCTAATGAAAACTTCTGGTTTTATAGATATCCTTGACAATAATCTACTATGTTCTTTTATTAATTAAGAATGTAATGATAAGACTTTCAATTTTATTATTACTTAATAATAACAATGATTTTGAATAAAAAAAATCTAATGTGACAAGTTACAATATGTTCAAATGAATTCAAGGATTTTCAAGGATAGTCAAATATTTTTTTATGAAATCCTTTTCACTTTTGATTTGCTTTATTGTATCATATAATCTAATGTATTAATTAAATTATGGGAAAAATAAATATTTGTATTTATTATATAATTAAGAAAAACTGACTAAAATACTGTTTAATGTCTGTAAATATCATAAACCAAGTTAAAAATGTAATGTTCAATAAAAATTTTATATCAATAGTCAGTATTCTTTGTAAATATTTTTCTTACATGATAGGTATAAAGAATAAATTAGTGGAAGATTACTTTGTCACTTTGCAAATTTGACTGTTGTTTGTTTTCAGCCAGATTTTTTTTCTCAAACAGCTGCAGAATACTTAAAAGTCAAAGAACGGAAAAATAATACTTTTATTTGGTGAAATTAACAAAGTCAAATTTCATATTTTTTAAAGTTATTTACCTACTGACATTTCTCTTTTTGAACTTTAACCATAAGTGACGCACGCGACAAATCGATTATGCATAAGTGGAAAGCTTAAGATTAGAGCGCGTGTGGGGCATGCGAACCTATGAAGTACTGATAGTGGATGTTATCTCAAAACTTACTGAAGAATACCCGGTAGTCAGGAGCATAAGGTGAACCTCTTTCTTCCGCGATGTACATACTGCTAGTCGCACTATTCAAGTTAATAACTACTTTTGAACTAAAACACCGAGTCTTCGTCACACAGGTTTTAATACAATTTCTAGAATAAGACTGTTTTATTCCTCTCAAGCAAGAAGGGACCACAACCGAGTAAATGCAACGTGCCAATGACATTTTGTTAAATAAAAAAATGACATTGACATT